TCCTGTTTTTGATTACGTTTAAGTCGAAGCTGACGTCTTCTAAGAGAAATACTTTGTACAATTCGAACTCCGGATTCGCACACCACCAGGAGCCCACCTGTTTGGCTCAAAGTTTGTATGTAGACCTTTTTTAGTTAGAAGAAAATCAAGCAGAACTAAAATCAAAGTTTACTAGCTCAAAGACTAACAAAATGAAGCAAAGTATGTGGGAAGACATGACAATCGCTGTCATAGCCTGTGCCAGGCTCTCAGATAGTATAGTGGGAACGTATTAAAACGAGCAAAGCGAAAATAAGACGCGCACGACAGGCTATCGCTGTCAACACCGTAGGAACTGCACACTGAATTGTAAGTGAAGTAAAAGAACGGCGAAGAACGAGCTGTCAAAGTTGCGTAAGGAACAAAAGGAAAACTGGTGGTGGCCCACCGCCAAAAACACCGCCTCAGGGCGCTATTAAAATTTTAGATTTGTTGAAAGACACACTGTCATTCAGTGGTTTACAAGGACTTGAAACAGATTGGTGAAGAGATCGAAGACCTTGTTTAGTTTTGAAAACAATAGACTGTCGTGTGACTGGCAACAGGCTCTTTTCCTCGCGGTGGTAACGCCTTGGCGTTGCTAATGATGTTGTGTAGTTTGAAACGTCTACATACAAACTGGATCTGCAAAACTGCTTTTTTGGCATCGAATCAAAAGATAAGTACTTAGGTGCTTTCGGTGTTGTATTGAACAATGCAGTATTTATAAGACTCGAGCATTTGAGCGTTGTAAACTTAGCAAGCGTGTAACTGAATGGAATTACGCGAAAATCTGTAGCATGAAATAACCTCGGCTTCAGAGATTCTGTTGAGCAATTTCTCAATGAGGTTAAAAATTCTTTTACGCCTAGGTAGCACAGCGCGAAAAACACATCAACTGCCATGTTGTTTCACTGATTTTGCAACAACACGTCATGGGTGACTAGCAGTTCTTTCACAGCATTGGCTTTACAAATCTCAGGACTTTGCATCTCGCGAGCACACTGGACACTAATCGTATAAGTAACACACTATATTACCTGCATCTTGCAAGCAACTAAAATAAATATTGTTGCCCCTAGATTCATCTCAAAAATTGTAAAGAATTCAAAGTATTTTCGTCTTGAATTTTTTAACCCCACTTCATTCAAAAATGCTACATTTCTTTCTGGCTAAACAGATAATTTGATCCATTATAAAACATGTTTTTGAACAAGCCGTTTAGACTAAATAGCAAGATATTTGGTATTTAAATAAATACATTGTTGTTGTTCTTGTTGGATGAAACGGAAAAATGCGCTTGTGGTCCATTATTTTCAAATGAGGCTTACAAGTTGTCAACAGCCCAATATCTCTCAATGCGATGTAGATGTTAAAATACTTAGAGTGGTTGCCAATCAAAGCATGGTCTACAAATATGTACGCTCTTCATTTCTGACCAACTGCATCTGCTAATTTTATTAATTTCCGTGGAAGAGGGAAATATAGTGCTCATTCCCCAAGCAAATTCTTTTTTTTCATTAACTGCACTTCATGACCAGTTATCTTTTATTCATAGATCGCATGTCAGTTATGTATCTTTTTTGACTTCAGGATTTCTTGGGGTACTGAAAACACTGAATGCAAGCTGTTACGAGACAGCCAAACAAAACACTTAATTATTTTCGATTTCCCGGGGGTCTCTCCTGGCCACCAACCGCTGCATGCCGGCCAAATAACCTGAGGACTCTGGGTTAAAATTGTTTAAAGGCAAACTGGCGGTGTGTGTGAACAAGAAATGGATAAACTTAACAAAGCTGACAGATGTTATTTCACTTACACGATTATATACAACTGAAGCAGTTCGATATAACTATTAGATTTGAAAAGCCTCTCTTGCACTACTAGCATTGATTTATCAAAAGGACGGCAAGTTTCAGAGGCAACTTAGTGAGGTGTTGTGTCCGCTCGCTCTGACGCCGGAAGGCCCTCGTTAGTGCTGGAAAGTTTTGTACTGGAATTCAATTCAGTGAAAACACCGTATTTGGGGGTAACATTTACTTACTTTGCTTCGGCTTTCTTCTTTCCTGAACGCGTTATTAACAGAAAAACGGCTTCGTATGATTCACTGAAGTAAACAAGAAGGCCGGGACACGACTTTTGTAACAAGTAACTAGGGAAAAACTCCAATTAATTCACTTGGTCAACTTTACGAAAAAAGGGATCATTTCATGTGACGTGCAAGATGCACTTTAACACTTTATTATAACATTTCAGTCTTTAATTTTTTTGTGGGCGTTGCTAAAGTGGCAGGTTGTCACTGGCATGGAAGCAGAACAAATAATAGAAAGCTTGGCAAACTATATATGGTTTTTAAGAGTACCAAATGTTGTTTGCATTTCACATCTGATTTGATTGACAGACAAACCCTGTAGATTTGTGACGTCATAAATTTGCATTTTTGGTAACATTTAACATAGAAAAGTTAATTATTTTTGTTAATTCAATCAAGAGAATACGAGCTAAGACCTATTTAGGACTCGCATCTAAAACAACGATCTGAAACAACTTGACTGGAAAAGTTTTAGTTAAATGCATTAAATGTTTTGCAATATGTGCCTCTTTGAAGTTGACAGATTTTATAAGCTTAATTAGCATATTTCGCAATGTGCAAGATCACAAACTTGATTGAGATACATGCCAGTTGCCACATTTTTTCCATGATCAATTCCTTAATTATGCTCTGTTAAAAAAGCGAGGTTTTGTCATAGGCGAGACTGTGTGATCAACTTGAAAACCTATATTACTTTTCCATAACATGCATATAAAGTCGTCGTTCGTCCACGAACGATAATTAGAAGAAAGCCCGTAAAAGTGTTGCTACTAGAATTCTTAACGGTCCTCATTTGTTTTAGAGTTCTCGTGATATGTTAAGCATTGTGAGAAAAACTTTATGGATATAGTTTACCAGTTTGCGACTTTTTTGTAAATTCCATTACATGTCTTTTTGATGATAACATCTTAATCAGAATTATCCATTTGATAACAGCTTGGCTGTAATTTGTTTACGCTAGAGTTAACTCTTCCTGTTTACGATCCAACTAAGAGGTTTAATAACCCTTAGCTATAAAGTTGTTTACGCTAGAGTTAACTCTTCCTGTTTACGATCCAACTATTTTTAAAGAGGTTTAATAACCCTTAGCTAGTTCACTTCAGAGCACTGTAATCAATAGACCCCTTTCAGTAAATTCCGCCCAATCTAGAGGACAAAACAATAAGATTGTTTTGCATTTGAAAGGTTTGTTTTTCTTGTAGCATCACTCAGCAGTTAGGCTTCCATGTCAGAACAACAGATATTGGGTCATGGTTCTCTTAAACGACAACACAATACACTCGCAGAGACAAAGTTGTAAACAATTCAAAGTATTTGAATTGTTTACAAATCAAGTTAGTCTGCGAAAACATCCTTTTGTCCTCGCTCTTCGCCGCTGTGGACAGAAACGGATGTTTTCGCAGGCTAACAAATTCTGAATTATTATGGTGATCGGATCATCAGTTGTTTATGTTGGTTTCTGCGTGACTTTCCATCATTGTCTTGATTTGACGTAATACCACACTCTCGTCAGAAGAAAACAGAGATTTAGCCAAGTTTTGACTTTAACTTTCCATATTTATTTGCATTTATCCTCATTTTATAGCTACTAGCTTTTTGCATGTATTTGCTACATTTACTCGGATCGGAGCCCTATTGTAACAAGGACCTTAGTGTAAAACACGAATGTCTTTTGGACCTAATTAAATGCATCAAACCGGTCCCCCAAAAAGTGTTCCTCGTTTTTTAAACCTACTGGCACTTCGGTACATTTGGCTTTCCTTGTTTTGTGCCTCTCTTTAATTTCGCTGGATTTTGCCATACTCACTATTTCACTAACAATTATTCCTCGAGCCCGAATCGGCTCTGAGTCAATAGCCCAAAATATATCAAGAATAAAAAAAATCGAGAATAAAAAAAAAATAGCTAGTTAAAGCTACACTTTAATCCTTTTTTGCCGCCAAAAAGCCTGCGCTTTTCGCTACTAGTGCCAACCTACCTCCTATGCCTGAACATTATTTAGCTAGCTTTACTCAGCTCGATTAGCTTTTTAGTTATTCTGAGTAAATGTTGCCTTTTTTTGTATTAATATATTATATTGTAAATTAAGTTAACTTTTATTTGGTAATAGAGCGGTTTTCACTTGACTGTCGAAAGGGATTGGTTTTGGTTTTGGTTTTGGTTTTACTAGGCCCTTTGGTTGGCTAGTGTATTTACTTTGGTTTTGGTTTTACGACAGTCAAGTGAAAACCGCTCTAAAGCTTACGTTGTTGTTCTTATGTTGTTACTAGGAGGCTATAACATATAGCCTAGTAGTAGCTCAAATAATCCGAACGCAACATTGATAATAGACCACTAGTTGGATTTCACTAATTTCTTTTATTTCAAATTTACGTTAAGCGTTGTCTAAAACGACGACTTCATATTTATATTTTCTTGAAGTTACTGGACCCAACCCGTGCACATCTCTGATTACAACAAATACTTACTGCGCCTATATTGCTATCTAATGCTCAGTTGATATCAACGTTCATCATACTTTCACATCCTTTACGGCGCGAAAGTGACATGACATCAAGTAAAATAAGATACAGCCAATTAACAATTATTGGACGAGGTTGAGCAAAATAACGTGATTTGTCAGTGACGAGCAGATAAATTATTTGCCGAAGCGCGAGACACAGACAAATCACGGTATTTTGCCATAACCGAGTTCAATAATTGTTTTATCATTCGATCATCTTTCCTTCCAGAAAGGTCAGCGAAGCTATCTGCCATTTTCACACAAGAACGATCGCAACAAGGAGAAAAGCGTGGTTTCATTTAAACATGAGTAGAATATTATTTGCAGCCCAACACATTTGGACGTCATTGCGCATGAGTAGACCACTATTTGTAGGACGTTATTTGCAGGTCACCTTGTAGGCTCTCGGCCAATGAAAAGGAAGAAAATTTTGCATCGAATGATAATACAAGATCAAAGTTGTGAAGGAATCGAACAAATAGAAGCTAACATAAATGTAGTGGGTAAACTAAAATGTGATCAGAAGAATTAACACGTTACAGTAAATAAAAAGAAATAGGAAGTCAAAAGCAGGAAGTGGATAGAAAGTAAACATGGTGACCGCTGACAATGTTACAAACGCTATCTTGTAGGCTCGCTTGCGCTGGATTAGAGTGCGTTCCTTTGCAACTGAATTGTTTTCTTTTCCTTGCTTGGTTCTGTTAGTTTCAGCTGCGAGAGCTGTAGGTAAATCTAGAAATGGGAAAAGCTCATCATTAGCATTTATCAAGATGATTTCTCGGAGATAGGGTTCGGACATACTAGCAACCTTTTACTGATTATATTTGTACCAATCATCAAGCACGAAGCATTAAAGCTAAAAGGCTAACGGCCGTGGATACAAGTTTCAACAAATTTGAAGTTTTGTCCCCCAGGAAGAATATTAATAAAAACAAAGTTTACGCTTGCGAAGGTTGGTATTGGGTGGTTTAAATAGAAAGATTTTACAACATGACTGGTTTATCTTGTTTAGATATGGAATATGTAAACGTTGATGACTAAAAAAAGAACCAAACTTCTTTTTTTAAAATTGTGCGATGGTGTAAACTTCCCGCCAAAATTGTTCTTATTATAGACAGGTCTGTGAAATTGCCGCGACAAGATTACATTGGAGTTGCTCACTCCGTGTTATGGGCTCTTGATTAAAATAATCAGCCATTCTTTATGTTAGAAAGCAGAAGCCAGCAGCTGTTTCGTCCTTATAGAAAGACACTTGTGAGCTCGCCACAGCTTCGAACATAGTGGTACTGAGTGGGATCATAACCCATCTCAGTGTTAATTGTTTCGCGTTAAAAAACCTCTCTCAGTAGTAATCTGCAGATTTTGAGGTTAAAAAGCATCGAGATTTTGTTTGCGTCCTTTTAACATCACAGCCCCTTGGAGCTGATAGCTGCAGACGTTTGTTTTAAGAACTCCAATATAATACTTTTTTGGTGAGATTATAAAAAAGGATCTCACCCCTATTAAATTATTTCAACAGTAATTTGTCTTCGTTTCTCTCCTGGCCAGGGTCAATTGTCCCAAATTTATATATATCTGGGATTCATGGTGGTTGCCAACGCGTTGTTTTGAAGATAGTATGGACTTAACGATAGGACGACGCGAAGGCAGCGAAAGCGTCGCTTCAAAAATGAATTTGTGTTCTTTCGGTCTTTATCGCGATTATTCCAACTCACTTACTTCGTCAAATGTAGGCGAACCCTCCCGGAGTTGAATTTCTAAGAACCATATTCAAGTTTAGAAAGATAATAAAATTTCGTCGTGGCCTGATACGTCCTCCAGAAAAAGTAAAATTAGGCAATTTCACGTCGTAATCGTGCAAAAACGGCAAAGAAATGTACAAAAAAGTGAGATGCACGTGCAAAGTTGTTGTTTTGCCCACTAAATCTATCGTTGTTTTTGACGTTCTCGTTGCCGTCGCGTGGTCGGATCGTTAAGTCCCCAGTTATGAAAGAAAATCGCACACCTCTTTATATTGTCCTCTATAAAGTTATATTGAGACTGATACATACCTTCTGAATCGACCGTTTGAGGCTCGTGGACATGAACAGATGTTGTCGCTCGATATTGACGTGATAGAGGTCGGGAAAAACCTGTAAAATGTATTTAAAAAAACTCGTCAGTAAAAGTATATAAAATGTTGGCTGAACGTTAAGCAAAATATGCAACAAGTATAAAGACGTAAAACTGATCTTGAAAAAATGACAGATCTAGGGGAGACGCGATTTTGTGCGCAAATCATTCAAGACTACCTGTAGCATGATAAAAAATAATTGTTTGTGTCTGGTCCTTGTTCCTGTATGACGGTGATTTGTATCATCGTTGTCGTCATCAACATCACACCATCATCATCATCGTTGTCATTATCATCATCATCACAACCACTTCTAAGATGCTTAAATCTGAGCTAGCTCTACCCTTCTTTGCAGAAAAAACTATTAATAATGGTTACCATATATTGCTTAACCCATCAATGCCTACTTTAAACATTATCAAAGAGGTTCGCATGTTCTATTTGAATGATCGCGTCTACAGGACGTAATTTCGTTCGTATGCTGTAATCAAAGAAAATTTTTGCTATACTTCTTTTTTTTTTGTAAGAGGATACTCTTTGATCATGAACCATAAAAGATAAATTTGAACTCACGTTTTCTTTTTTTCACCGCTGTTGAGCATTTTTCTTCAACCTTGCCCACGAATGTTTTAATCATTTTCAATGTATTGTCCAGTGCTTTCTCCAAATCTGTCGAAAAAAACGTTTGTTTTGCTGTCATTTCAGAGCGGCATTTTTGAAAATCCCAGGCTTACGCAAGATTATAAGGAGGAACAGCTACACAATAGCTGTACCTAAGAAACTGAAAAAGATATAATTTTTACCTTTGGCTTTTGTATTTCCCTCGTTATCCGGTTCGCGATCTTCCAGATAAGAACCTTGATTTAAAAAACGACGCATAGTAAGTGCCATTGATATGCGTAATAAGAAAGACGATGTGCAAGAGGGAGGGAGGGTGGAAGGCAATGAGGAAGATATAGAGGCCGTGACGGAGGTGGGGAGGGAGGAAAGAAGAAAGTGAGGAATGCAAAGGGTAAAGGAGGAAGTAAGATAGTGAGGAAGGCATGGGGGAAGGGAAGGAAGCTGGGAGGGGGGAAGAAAGGCAGTGAGGAAGGCTTGGGAAGAGGGAAGGAAGAAGGGAGGGAAGAAGGAAGGCAGGCTTGCGGAGAGGAAACAGGGAAAGAGGAAGGCATGGAGGAAGTGAGGGAAGCAAGGAGGGAGGAAGCACGGCAGTGAGGAAGGCTTGGGTAGAGGGAAGGAACAGGAAGGAAGGAAGGAAGGCAGCGAGGAAGGCTTGGGAAGAGGGAAGGAACAAGGGAGGAAAAAAGGAAGGCAGTGAGGAAGGCTAGGGGAAAGGAAACAGGGAGGGTGAAAGGCACGGAGGAAGTAAGGGGAGGAAGGAGGGAGTAAGCAGGGCAGTGAGGAAGACTTGGGAAGAGGAAAGGAACAGGGAGGGAGGAAGGAAGGCAGCGAGGAAGGCTTGGGAAGGGGGAAGGAAGCAGGGAGGGAGGAAAGAAAAAAGTAAGGGATGCAGGTAGGCAGGGAGGAATGGAAGTGGGGGAGGGGAAGGTGAAGAGGGAAGAAGGAGCGAGCGAACGAAGCGGAATACAAAGAGAAAGAGAAAGAAAGATGCAATGTTGAAAGAGGAAATAGACGGGAGAACAACGAAAAAACTTCTACCTTCTGATATTGTGCTTTCCTCATCCTCAGGCTCCAGATCATCATCTTTGTCCTGCATAGACGCTTGCTCATCAGATGACGTCCTTGAAAGTGCTCCTAGAAGGAAACGAAATTGGGCAAAAGTTCTCTAAAATATATTGAAGAAGAAAAAAGACAAAGATACACAAATAAAGATCAAAATGGAAGAAAACAATTACAAGAAAACTTATTACGAAAAATGGATGATAGCATAAAGGAAGGAAAGAAAGAGACACAGAAGAAGATAAAAGCAAGACAAGAAAAAAGAAAAGAGGGAAAGGAGAAGAAAAAATCGGGAAGGTTGGAAGGAAAGGGAGGGGCGGCATAAAAGTGAGGAAAGGCAGAAGTGACGGAGAAGGAAGGGGAGCAAAGAGGGAAGAGGCTAAGGAGGGTAAGGGAGGAGGGAGGGAGCGGTAATGGAGGGGTGACTGAGTATTAAGGGAGGAGTGAGAGAGCAAGGATCGAGGGAGGAGCGCAAAATGTAAATGAGACGAAAAGGGTTCCGAAAACAGCAAATCGAAGAAAATAGCCAGGAAATGCAAAAAGTTATCCCCAGATAGATTGAAAGAGAGAGATAGAAGGGAAGGGTGATAGGGATTAAATAATAGCAAAATGGGAAAAAGCAAGTTTGCAAAAAATAATAATAATAAAAGTAATAATAGAACGTTCCTCTCCGGTAAAAGATATTTTACTCACTGTTTCTTATTTTCTCCTCGGCTCTCTTCTTTACTGTGGTGCATTTGTCCTCTACCTTCTCTCTCAGAGCTCTAAACTTGGTCACGAACTTTTTTTCAACGTTTTCCATCTCTGTGGTGATAGTTACGATATAACAATAGAAAGATTAAATTCAACACTAATGTTATTTTTTTGGAACAATGCTAAGTTGAAAGAGCACTACTCATCAGGTAATTGGGTCCGACGCTTAACGGGGACGAGGCAATTTCGTCCCCTTGGCTTTAAGCCGGCCCGGGGACGAGGTTGAGGATGACGGTGTGAACTTACTACTCATGTACAGTTCCTGGAAATGATCACATGATTTACCACCTTAAGGAGACAGGTAGTCAATTTGAACAATAGAGAAGAGAAATGTGACGTCACGTTACCATAGTAGCAAAATTTCTGGATCTCAACAGTCTTTCTTAACAGAGACGCCGCCATTTGCATTGTCAAACGATTGAATAAGACTATCGTCTTGTTCCTGAGTGCAATCATGCACAGAAGAGTCATACAAGTCATTTTGTTCGTTTTCTTTCCCTCTACATATTTACAGCACCGCAATTTGTTGAGATCCAGAAATTTTGCCACCATGGCAACGTATTAAAGTAACGACTTCTCCTCTCCTTCAAAAGATGAAGACATTTTGAAAACGTTAAAATGTTTCTGTTTAAACTATTATTGCTCTGAGTCTGCAGTTGCTTTCAGTTGGAAATAGCTAAGAATTAAATCTTTTTTACTTTCTCATTCATACACGAAACGCTCTATGTAAAAGCGAAATGATAACTTCGCCGATTTAATGGCAAAATATTCTGTTTTTAAAATCCTAAACATGACTGTTATATCACTCTACCTGCAAGCCGTTCTTCTCTTTCCCTTTCTTCCACTTCCCTGCAAACTAATTAAGATATCAATTGTTACAGGCAAACTTTCACTAACGGTCACATCTCCACAACGGCCACTTGTTTTGGCGGACAGTCCATACATTGACTCTTGTTAAACCTCTTTAAAACGGTCACTTTCTTCTGTCCTCGAGGTGGCCGTTGTGGACAGGTTCAACTGTATTTACCTTAGTTCTAGGTTAGAAGAGGAAAGGTTCCAGTTGACTGTAAAAAGCACACGCGACTTCGTTTTCTCTGACGACGTTGGTGTCTAAATTAAATAAGAACTTAATAACAATTGCAAGATATCGTGTGCTCAAACATTTCAATCTCATCTCCAAATGTGAATTCTGTAAAATTGTTTACAAACCTTTCGCGACTCTACCTTGATTTTATATTTTTCTAATCATCCGTTAAATTTGGCATGTTTCCACTTGTAACTAAGTGAGGTTTGGGGCTCCCCCCAAAAATTATTATGACGTAATAAGCGCTAAAACAGCGTTAATTGGTTAAAAAAAACCGTGTGACTGCCTCTAACCAATTGGCATAATACACTGCTCTTAAACTGTTTTTGTTTTGGTTTGTTTGGCATCGGTTGATATCTTGGTAGCTGAAAGCCAATATAACTGAATTGGTCCATAAACTTCCGCAGTGTTTGAGGCAAATTTTGACTTGAGTCAAAGTCATTTAATTAGTATTTGATTAACTTGATTTTGACTTGGCTTGGCTAGTATGATGAAGTGAACATTGTAACAAAGCTTGGCTCCAGTGAGCAACTCGTCTTCCTACTCTAGTCTTTTTCACTAATTTGTCAATAACTGAACCGAATCACTGCACATACATACCACAACACTGAAAATCTCCGCCGTGAAAGAAATTAAACATAGGTGTTTGCCTAGTCTTTAGCGCATGTGCTAGGTGCCAGTATACATGGTGTCCCCTTTTTCCAATTTCCGTTAGTAGCTCAGATGCTTTTCTCTCGGGGGTACAGAAGACAAGGTCGTTGAAGATTCTTTCTTGATCCGCTTGATCAAAAATCCCGTACGATCGTAGATAAATGCAGATTTTGAAGAGATCGTCCTCGCGTATATTCCTGTTTACAAGAATAATTTTGAGAAAGAGAATGCAAAAAGCAATGATGTAGTGCAGCAGCCCATGCCTCTGTGCGGTGCAAAAGACGTAAACTTTGTTTGAAGGAAAGTTAACCGAATTCCAGAAAAAAGACAAACGCATACAATAAAATCCACGTGAAATTCAGGATTTGGTCTTCTATTTATTTGAAATTGGTTTGCTCAGATTTTTTGTAATTGTTTGTTTTAAGACCGCATTCGCCAGAGCAGAGATGAAAAGATGAGATGAGATGGTAAGCCTTTGTTCAATATATTTTTCGTTGTCTTACTATCTCATCTCATCTTTTCATCTCTGCTCTGGCGAATGCGGTCTTAAAACAAACAATTACAAAAAATCTGAGCAAACCAATTTCAAATAAATAGAATATTCCGTTCGGAATCGCTCGAACTTCATCAGCAATGAAGTAGCAGTTATTGCGTACAACAGGAAAAGGAGAAAACTGCCGGTTGGCTCAAAGCGTTATTATCAAGGAAGATTAATGACGTAAAAACAAACTCAAACATTAAAGACTACAAGAAAAATACCTCGCAAAAAGAACCAAAAACTCGTCAAAGCATCCTCGCTCCACTGTGCGCACGAATCTTTCGATCTTCTTCTTTGTTCCCTCTGTGAAGAGGTTAGTTTCTTCAAGAAACTTCGAGCAATCTTCGAGCTGGGAATGCTTCGCCATTTGATCTCGTTGTTTTTGATAAAACAATCACAGAGCGCTGGTTTATACGTAGTTTTCTTTGCTCATTAATTATTCATCACGTAACAAGGAAGCTAACTGAATATTATTTATTGCAGTCAAAAATAAAGCATACCGGTTAGGGCTGACTGAAAATGAAAACTCCCACGAGCGTTTAATGAACAGTATTTGGCCAAAACAGAAGCATGTATATATGGAAACAAATACGAGTTATTGACTGCGAGTAAACATAGCTGTAGGTCAGTCGTCCAGTGTGTGGCAACAAGATGCGAAGCGGGTGTAGACGTTTTAACGTAATTTTTACAATTTAAGTTTAAACGTAAACAATTAACGTAATTATGCATAAATTGGTATTTTAAAGTTTGCAAGTCTGTTTATTAATCAAGTCGGAAACTCCGCCTGATCAGGCAACGATTACTTCCACAAGACAAACACATGTATGACTCATTTAAAAGAGTCTGCCTGTGTCAAGAGGTAATTGTCAGCGTGGTGAGAAAATTAATAAACAGACTTTTGTTATTTACTTGAACTGTTTGTACTCTATTCTGACTTTACGTCCCCAGGGCTAATAACGTTCCTCACTTTATTTTTATCACAAGTGGCTGCAAGTTCACACACTATATTGCTCTTGTTTTTTTGGTTGTGTCCAAAATACAAACTTATTCCGGTTTATGAAACAATCAGTAGATATACCACACGGCACTTTTCATTTATACCTACTACTTCCTTGCCTTAATGTTGAAGACGATCAGCACTTTTTCATCCTCATCATCATCATTTCATCATCGTCGTCGTCGTCGTTATCATCTTCATTAGGGAGCTTAAGCAACCACTACGACGACCACTACGACAACTTCAAAAAACAATAGGTTTAATGATAAAAAAAAAAACAGCTCTACACGTGCATCACACTTTTGAGCACATTTCTTTGACGTTCACTGCACGACTACGACGTGAAACCTCCTAATTTGACGTTTTATGGGGGACGTGGACATACGACGACGAATTTTCCTTCCTCTTTTTGAACCTGAATAAAATCCTTAAGAATTCAACTCCAGGAAAAGTCGCCTGCATTTGACGTATTGAGCGGGTCCAAATAGACACGATTAAGTTTGAAAGAAGGCAAAATCATTTTTTTTACCGACGTTTTCAATGCCGTCGTCGTCGTCCTTGCTTAAGGTCCCCATTATCTTCTTCTTGACGCAGGAGCCCATCAAATTTGATAGGCTCCTGCTTGACGTTATTTGTATGAATTTTTTAACCTAATAGTTTTAGTCGTTCGATTAACTGAGTACTGCTTACTCCAAGATTAGTATCAGGATTGCTATTAAAGACTTTAATTCTCCTTAGGTTTCTTAAGTTAAAAGCAGGAGGTTGTTCGTCAGTGAATGGAAAGTATGTAATTGCCGGTTGTCGTAGTGTCCTTGTTTTGATTGACCTGTATGACCCTTCCTTAAAAAATATATATATAAAAAGATAGCTCCACTTTTTTTAGAAACCAAAAAATTTATTCAACACTAAATTGCATGAGGTAATCATTCTACATCTTTAGTTAAACGTTGCAATATACATTCCAGGGCCTGACTCATCCCCAGTCGTCTCTTATCATTTGTTCCCGGTCATGGGACGGTCGCGGGAGACCATTATGGCACTGCGGCGAAGAGGACGATGAGAATCCCTCGTTAATATTTAATTAGGAGACAAAAGAGACCACTGGGGAGGAGTCAGTTCCTGGGCGTTCTTTTTTTGCTGCAAAAGGCTTTTAATCATGCAAAATTAGAGAGATTAAGATTCACGTTTACGCTAAAAGGCAAACGTGAATTTGCACCACGTGGCAAACTTTTCCCCTTAATAGTTGTTAACTGTTTATTACTTCAACTAAAAAATAAGTAGTTTCACTCCAGTTTTATACATAAGAATACTTCTGAACAGTTTTTATCTGCTTATTTTCTATTCTGAGAAATTCTCAACTTGAATCTGACGTTTGCCGTTTAGCGTAAACGTGAATCTTAATCTCTCTATTCTTGTTTAGAAGATGTTCGGCAGATTTTTATGTTTTTTTTTGTTAAATTTTGTATTAAACAGTTTTGTAAGTACTTCCAACGATGTCATATTCACGTTTTTAACCTCCTTCAACAACAGGTCCAGGCCACAACAGTCATGCGCAGAACCCACAAATCCACCTTTTGCCACTCTCTTTCCCAGAGCCCGTCGTTTCTTTTTGACACGTGAAACCAAAGATCAGAGGTTGCTTATAAATGCCACAGGATTTCGGCCACAGACTCAAAAGTTAAAACCGCGTTGCCAAACGTCCTCATTCGCTCTGGGAATGAAAGGGTTCATGACAACAACTGTCTAGGAAAGGGAAATTTGCGACTGCACTACGTTTGAGGAAGACACATTATGATTACTACAGCAACAAATAATATGAAGAACTGTAGATTAACTGAACCTTCAAACAGAAATTTGGCCAAATAAACACCATATAAATAAGAAACGGTTCAATCTGTGCCGATGATCAGAGGTTCTCGTGTGGGTTTTTACTGAACCAAGAACGAAAGTTTAAAATCACTAAGAATCAACAATATAAAATATTCCAATCTTGCCGGATAAACCGAATTGCCCATTGAAATGAAGACTGCTGCCGCTAACATCATCGTTGTCGGACGAGGTGATTTCTTGCAATACAAATTAGCTCCTTCAAGCGACCTAATACTGTACGTAATCCAATATAAACAGTGAACAACGCTTCGAGCAAATCCCCAATCAAACAAAATCGCTCACTAGTTCAGCTGCGGGAGAAAGTCTTTGATGTCGTTTTTCCTTCCCAGCGGAAACCAAGCAAGCCATGCTACCGTTATTGTTTGGAATTGACGAGTTTAGAAGTGAAGGCGTTGAGCCGCCAAAGAGGAGGGAAGATGAGCGGCCAAGATGCCTGTTTCCCGCCTCCATGTTGGCTGTTTTCATTTGCTGAAGCTGTCCGTATAACTTGCGAATCTCTTCCTGGAAAACAGAAATGTTAAAGCACTTTTACTATATGGCTACAATAATACGCGCGCTCTGATTGGCTGTTTTCTTGTAATGACCGGGATTTACTGGCTAGGTGTCCAAGGCATATTCAATATGTGTTTAACTTGATAATTATATGCTGGAAATCCTTATGGACATCCATGTTGTGGTCAATTGAAAGCCATCAAAAAGGGTAACCGCTGACCCGTGTCACCAGACTATATCGCGGGCTCAAGTGTACAACTCATTGAGGTGATGTGTTTTTTAAGTTATCCGCTGACCAGTTGTTGGTTATAGCCGATCTTGCGCAAGCTCAGGTCTGTAATGAAAATGTCACTCAATAAATAACTTATTAACCTCGTCCGTTAGGTCATTACAGGGAAAACTCAGACCTCGGCCTTGATGTCTTGACCTCGCTATCGCTCGGCTAATACGTCACGGCCTCTCATGGTCTGAGATTAGTCTGTAGCGACCTCACTTTCGTAATACGTAATAGGTAAACTTTAGTATTACAAAGCGTTTTCTTTTAGGTTTTTAATGGAAAATTCACAGAAAAGTTCATCAATTTTTTTTTGGCGTCCGGTCATCGCGAAGGTCAGGGTTTGCCGGATTCCCGGTCAAGGCTGAATTTTTTCAGGTCCCTTTTCAGCCGCTTATCATACTCGTGATTAAACAAATCAGATAATTTTGTTGATTGTAAACAATTATTGGATGAGGTTTTTGTGATGTCCGGAATAATCAAGGTCGAGGTACTGTGTTATCAGCCGAGCCGAAGGCCGAGGCTGATAACACTTACCGAGACCTTGATTATTTAGGATATCACAAAAACCGAATCTCATAATTGTTTTGTTATACATTGTTTTTAAGACACATCGTCGCACAATCTCGACCCAGAGCTCTTCTGCGCATGTAGAGGAGAGAGATCAAGATCTCTGGGGAACCCTGGAGCAGGATTGTCTCTGATTGGTTTCAGCAAAAAAAAAAGTGTTTCTGATTGGTCCATTCAAGTTTGCACGAGAGCGGTTGAACGTGCTGCGTGTCCGGCGTGTGAGCGGGGTCTTCCCTAGAAATGTTGAAGTAAACACGACCGGCCGATTATTGATTTCAGCCATTCCAAAACAACATTTTCACGACTAATTAGGCAGAATTACTGGATTTTCCAATTTTCAAATCTCTTGAAAATAGCTTAGCTACATATCGAAAGTTGAACCAGAAAAAAGATTTGAATGTGAAAAAATAAAATAAAAATACACTGACATCTTTGCCAGCTATAATTTAAGAAGCATGACACATAACTGATTTTTCTTTGACTTCCACGTTATCGTAATCACACGAAATAGACGAGTATGAATGAAAACTTGAGCTTCTTCTCGTAAATTGCCCATATACAGAACACAAAACACAAAAAGTAAATCGTTCCCTAAAGTGATACGTGTACAATGCGACTAGATATTTATAGTTGTCCTCTTTTTCCACGATATCGCATTTTTGACAAGCCATTCGGGTTTCACTTACTACCTCGTGAAGAAGTCCACACAAATGTTTAATCAACTGTCAAGCATATGCAAACTTCAAGTCTCAAATCTGTGATTGGGAATGTTTAACGGTATTTTTCCAGCAGCTACGACAAGAGCCCTGGTTACCTGAAAATTCTGTAACTGTATTAACTGTATTTCTTCAGTTCTAATACCGAAGCAGCACACTACTTTCGAGATGAAGTAGATATAAAAGAAGCAAAAAGTTTTGGTTGAGCTTGGTTGGATCAAAGAGCATGCGCTGTGAGGCCAAAATAGTCAGATTTTGGCTACTCCGGCGCAGAGTTTCCCAGAGCTTACGCGCGCATTCCCAAACCCGTAAGCACTGGGGTCGAGAATGATCGTCGCAAGGAACCTGAATTAATATTGTTATTAGAAATCATGCATTGCGCGCGCAACCTACAGACTAGCAGATAACTAACTTATCTGTAGGTTGCCCTGATTTCCAAAATTAGCTGTAGTCTCTTAGCCAATGAGAAGACAGATGAATACAATGAGTACAATGAGTACAACAGAGTACAATGTATAATAATAGACCGAATTAGACTCCACTCAGTCCTATTACCATGATTATTTATAGGCTGTTCATTCTACTGCGAAGATCATATTCACTTTCATTATTTTTAAACTGTTAAGTTTTTTGTGAATGGCGACTGACTGGACTTTAGAAAGCTATCGATACATATTTCTTATTTTATGGTTTCATTATTACATGATTCGATCCAGTAAATAAAGAACTGAAAAAGGAGTCCCCCACCCAGTCACCTTTTACAAATACATTTTACTCTTTGATAACAAAAAATATTCAATATACGGTAGGGTTTTTTTTTCCGATTTAGAGATTTCTAAGTTTCAATACAGTATACAGATCAACGTAGAAGGACAGACGAAACTAAACTCTGGTTAACTCGTCTACTTTCTTACAAGAAACTAATGGGCTAATGGAGATGTACCGCTGGATGGGGTCACATTTTCAAGAGAGTTACTAGAATGGGGTCGCACATTTTCTGATTTTTTGGGTTAGACAGTAAAAACGTACTAGAATGTTTGTATGGTAGATGAAAAGTAAAGTGTTCTTCAGTCCATGTAAAAATTGGGTCAATTCACAAATATAGAAAGTGACTAAGTTGGGATGGCGAAAATTACATATTTGCCCAAAAGTGATCTCGTTATCACCCGTTCTAGCGATGACATCTTAAATAAGGTCCCTGTAGTTGATCGCTCTATCTCTGACCACGCATCTGTTTATTGTACACTTCAGCCCAACAGACCTTGCATGACTACTAAGAACTTTGTCTACAGAAAGCTGAAATCCGTCGATCTTTAATCTCTTAAGCGGGACTTATCTGACTCCTTGTTATGCAGTGATCCACCGGATCGGCAAGTGCATCTTCACTCAGAAGATGCACGTGACCTGGATGCTGTTGTACGCAGATACAACACTACACTTCCCAAAGTCATTGATTGTCACGCCCCACTTAAGACTAAGACTTCGAAAGTTAGACCTGCAGTGCCTTGGTACAACGACGAGATAAAGGCCTCTAAACGCTTGAGACGTAAGGCTGAGAGAACCTGGAGGAGAACGAGATCTGTGTCTGACTTGAATATTTTCAAGTCTTACAGAAACCGCGTGACGTACCTCATGAACCAGGCCAGGCAGGCATTTTACACTAACTTTATTGATGAGAATAGCACAGACCATAAAAGATTATTCAGAGCTACCAAACAACTCTTTGCTAAGAAAGAGGAGTTTTCGTTTCCTAATTATCAGGACAAATCAAATTAGCCAATGACATCGGCGGTTTTTTCGTTCGAAAGATAGATAGAATTCGTTTTGATATTGGTGCCGTAGACATCGATCCAAGCGCGCGCAATGCGCTACCTCCTGATCAGGAAGTAGATGATGCGCATGCTTTTCATTTCTTTCAACCACTCTCGGAAAACGACGTCTGTTCTCTCATCCGTAAGTCTGCAAAGAAGTCTTGCCCGTTGGACCCCATGCCAGCTTCTCTGGTTGTTGGCTGCCTTGACGTGCTGTTGCCTGTTATTTCACGAATTATAAATCTTTCGCTATCATGCGGCCATTTCTCTGAGGAGTGGAAAGAAGCTCCGGTTACTTCGATCCTTAAGAAACCTGGCTTAGACCCGACGCAGTTGAATAACCTTCGCCCTGTCAGTAACTTGGACTTTATCAAAATTGACAGAGCGCGCTGTTTTCGACCAAATTCACAGTCATATGAGTCGATTCTCCCGTTATCCAACCTCGCAATCCGCTTACCGAAAGGGTCACAGCACAGAAACAGCGCTACGGAAGGTACAAAATGACATTCTCATGAATATGAATTGCAAGCATGTAACTCTTCTACTTCTCCTAGATTTGAGCGCAGCGATTGACACTGTTGACCACAATATCCTGCTTGCTCGTCTTAAGTCAAGTATCGGCATTAATGGCACCGCCCTTAATTGGTTTATGTCTTATCTTAACAACAGGTCGCAACGAGTCTCGCTAAATGGCTTTACATCTGACAGTTTTAAGCTTCCCTATGGTGTTCCTCAAGGATCGTGTCTGGGGCCATTGCTGTTTACCATTTATTCCAGCAAACTGTTTGAAGTCATCAAATACCATCTACCTGAAGCACATGCCTATGCTGATGACACTCAGCTTTACCTGTCATTTAGTTCTGACACGGTTACTAATCAGACTGATGGGGTCATTGCCATGGAACGCTGTATATCGGACATTCGTACGTGGATGCTTACAGATAAGCTCAAACTTAATGATGACAAAACTGAGTTCATGTTGATTGGTACAAAACAACAACTTTCCAAAGTAAATATTTATTGCCTTACCGTAGGAAGCATTGACGTTGTTCCTGTCACTGTGGCAAGAAATTTAGGGACATGGTTCGATTCTAACTTGAATCTCCAGGAACAGATCCACAAAACTTGTAAATCTGGGTTTTCCCATTTATACAATATTCGGCGTATCCGAAAATATCTGTCCCAGGAGTCTGCACGAACTTTGGTCCATGCTTTTAACATTGGTCGTATAGATTACTGCAACAGCCTTCTATTTGGTTTACCCTCTGTTCATCTACTTAATTATAAACTGCGACGCTTGCAGAATGCAGCTGCTCGGCCTATATCTAATATCCCTCGCTACAGTCTCATAACACCAGTACTATGTTAGTTACATTGGCTTCCTGTCAAATTTCGTATTGATTTTAAAATACTTCTTTTCACTTTTAAAGCTATCTACGGTCATGCGCCTGGTTACTTGATCGATTTGATTGCTATTAAAGAACAGCCGCGCTATAACCTCCGTTCAGCTAGCGGTCTTATCTTAAAGTATCCTCGTTTAAAACTGAAAAATACTTTGGGGATCGTGCTTTGTCATCTGCTGCCCCTAATTTATGGAACAATCTGCCCCTTCACATCCGTCTTGAGGACAATTTTGAACGTTTAAAATCTTTACTTAAAACGCATCTTTTTAGACTAGCTTTTGATATGTAATTTTTTTACCTACTATGTAATATATTTAGTGTTTTTTATCTTTATTTAATTTTAGCGTTGTTTATTCTTAGCCTTAATTATTTTGCTCATTTTAGTTTTTATTTGCTTTTAATATTTACGTGTTGTCAGGCGCTTTTAATCATATTTGCATGGAAAAGGCGCGTTATAAATTTTTAGTTATTATTATTATTATTATTATTAGGTGGGGTCAATAATTGGCCACAGAATAGACTATAATGGGGTACGGGATGTGCGAGGCCAGCGGCACATACACAGTAAAAATTAACCCAAGTACCCCCCCTCCTCACGCCCCCGAGGGCTATAAGGCAGGGCACAAGTCAGTTTTACAGCTTACCCGTAGCTAGCAGATACTAACCGAATAGTCATTACATTTTCACTAGTCTGAAACAAATTTTTGACGAGAAGGATTGATTGTAGTTCTTCTATAATTTGAACTCCCCCAGAAAACTTCCCTTGCCCGTCGAGCTAGTTAACTTGAACAGTATTCACTAGCCCAGTACCAAAATCCACTAGCCCCGGGCTATCGGACACGACTTTCTGTGCACGCTGCATGGATAACAAGGAGAACAAACCTTAAGATCTTCGTTTTCTTGGCCCAAGTTCACAGTTCCTTCTGAGGTCCCACCTGGTGGCATACTTAGAGCGGCCCCTTTCACGGACGCAATCCGACCACTTGTATCAAACACATCACCGCGGCCCTTAACGACACGAACTATCTGAACAACAGCAGAGAAAGAATAACGTAAGGCTTAAAACTCCAAACTCGGATATATAAAGCGTTTTCATTCACAAGCCCAGCCAGGGTGATTTAGGGGTTAACGTGTGATTATAGTTAATAAAGTGGAATGGATATGACGCCTGTTAGATTCCCTTTTTTATATTTTTTTTATGGACTTGACGGTACACAACGTTCAATAGATATCCATCATTTTGATTTTACTGACCAATAAAAACGAGGCATAAATTTATTCCGTCACAATTTATGATCAAGTGACGTCACGTCCCTTCTATTGGTGTCCCAAAACAGTCTATCATTTAAGAATATAAGGGGAGGGGAGGGGAGGGGAGACATAAAGAGAGAAGGGGGAGGAGCGGGGGGTTGCTTTCTAACATTCTTCCCCTGAAAAAGGTGGGGGCTTATTAGAGAGAGAGGGGCACAATGGGGGATTCACGGTATATGGATTCTAATAGACCTGCGCGGTGGAACATACCTTTGGTACAAATACAAGCCCTAGAAGAACAGAAACGCTGAGCTGAACTCGAAAGAACTCCAGCAGATAAATCATATCAGGTCCAGCCAAGTTTCCAATAAAAAGTCTGTAAAGAAATTATGCGAAAAAAAGATAAACAAATAAATAAAATAAATCTGTCATATTTCGGCACTTAGAAACGAGAGGAAACCTGGGCCGGCTCAACTATTTCGCAAAGACTTTTAGGATTGTTTCTAGGGGCAGGAAAAAAATGGCCAATAGCTGACCGGCGCGTCTCCATTAACGATCCCATAAACCACTGCGGGACGCATTTCGGTTCTTATTCCCTTCTCGTTTCTAAGTATCAATTTGTGTTAACGTACATATTTCTGACCGTGGAAGGTTTGAACCCAGGAGTCATTTCAAAAGTAGGTTGAGTTTGATTGTCCGGGTGAACGTATGTCCTGAATAGGGACTGTTGTTGTTAACAGTGACTGACATTTCGACAACCTGTGCGGTAGTCATCTCCAGAGTCAAAGTGAGTTGTATCGCGTCAGTTGATGGTATTATATATACTCTGGTTATTGATCTGATTGGTCAATTACGTCGCGATGTTATTGTTCGTCTGTCAGTTAAGCCGTGATGTTATTGGCTATGAAGACTCGCAATCAGTCATTGGTGCGTTTATATTTCTGACCGTTAAAAACCACCACAAACAACAAGAAAACATTGTACGGGTTAGCCTGAGAAAACAGCTGACACTTGGCGACGCCACCACTAGTTTCGCCGCTAAATGATGTCAGAGAAACGAGCGCAGAAATTCCGCCCATACTGATGACACGTCACTACCCAGATCCTGGTTGTAGTTCTGATTGGATGGATTTTCAACCAATCAGAAGCACTGCCCAGATCTGGGTAGTGACACGTCATCAGTATGGAATTTCTGCGCTGGTTTCTCAGATGTCATTTCGCGGGCAAATCAGGGATGGCGTTGCGAAATGTGGGGTGTTTCCCAGGCTAAACATGGGTCGTTCAGTACTGGTTTCGTTTATAATGCTGGTAATCTTATTGGAATTAAAAAAATTCTCTGCCGAAAGGAACAGCGCGTTGGAACCACCTTTATTGTACATTGAGATCGTTGTAATTGTTCCCGAAATGAATAATTAACAATTATTGGACGAGGTTGAACAAAATAACGTGATTTGTCACTGGCAAGCAGATCGGCTGAGGTAAATAATTGATCTGCGAGACACCGACAAATCACGATATTTTGCGATAACCGAGTTCAATAATTGTTTTATCATTCGATCACCGAGTTTGTTTTTTAGTGATATCCTGAGGAAGCGAAGCGATCAGCCATTTTCACGCAAGGGCGATCGCAAGAAGAAAAGCGTGCTTTCTCTTCGTATGAGCAGATTATTATTTGCAGCCAAACACAGTTGGACGACATTGCGCATGAGCAGACCATTATTTGTAGGTCAAGTGGTGGGCTCTCGGGAAATGAAAAGGAAGAAAAATTGGTTTCGAATGATAAAAAGGCTGCCTTGATAATGCATCGGAGGGAGAAATTATGCTTTAGTAAAGCAAAGTTTTCGTTTTATCATGTGAGTCCATAAATAAATTCCTATTCAACGTAAAAAGATCTAAAAGGTAATGTTTGGAGCGCTAGCCTTTTCAAAGAGCGATACAGATGAATGTCACGTTTTCAAATATAGTACATCGTAAGCAACAATAAATGACACTTAACTTGCTGCACAGGAAAAAAAACCCTTAAGCATTTTTGAGTTTTCAGTAGAATATAAATGATGCCAAATGGCCCATTGATTGGTCTGTATAGACAGCATTTGTTCACTTTATGAGGGTTAGCATTACAAAGCCTAGACATTTGCAGGGAACAGATAAAAGTTATGTGGCTGGCCTTGGTTTCAACCCTTACAAATATGTTCCGCACGAAAATGCAGTTTTTATTGCAGCCAGTTAGGGGGAAGCCGCGGCGGTTATTTTCTTTCATTCAAGGCGACTACGATTTTAATTTTAACTTTGTACAACTTGACCAGTCCGAAACGCATCGTGGTCAATGTACGAGCTAAACTACATGATCTTTTTGTTTAAGCTTTTAACACAAGTAAACATTTGACGTAAACACTTGTCCTCCGAAACGTGCAAAAAAACTTGTTTTCATATTTTCAATTGTGACAAGAATACAGCACTTGAAAACCGTCAAAACTCTGCTCGCCATCCAAAAAAATGACAAGTTGAGGTTCCAACATCATATTTCAAGATGGCAGCGGGCCGCATGACCAACATTTTTATTGAAAACAAGTTGAAGTGTCATCAACATCTTGGCAATTACTTTTAACACTAGCAAGAATAGCAGCATAGACGTATAGTAACTATAGATAAGGACCATAAATGTATCTTCGGGAGGGAAAGTCCTTGTGACGTTCGCTTTTAATTACTAAGAATGACAAATTGAAGCTCCCGGGGGGCTACTTCCTTATATAACCCATATAGGTATGTGCCGCCCCAAAGGGTAGGTATTTTGCACCGTTTTTTTGCACCCTCTTTGCCCATTTTGGTCTGGGATCGGGTATGGTTTTCGAGGGAACCACGAGAGTGTATGAACATATGTATCGTTTCAATCCCAAATGAGTAAGAAGGAAAGAGAAATCGGCGTATTCGAAATGGATTTTAAAGAAATCTTTTAAGCCAAGTCTGAAAACAGATGTGAAAAATGACTCACATTTTTTGCTCAGAAATAGGGTCAGGAATTGGAGAATCGGGCAGCACATCCCCACCAAGAATTCCCAGGAGTACCCCCGGGCAAAAACTGCAAATAATTCCGAGGCTAATCATTAAAAAATGACAGCTAGCAAACAACGATCATAGTATTATATGACACCTAACACGTATAGCAACGACCTTTGACAGTTTTTTCGAAATTCAGGAAAAGCAGAATTTCCCTCCGGCCAAGGGTAATGGAGACTATTGATGAAAGCTATGACGTACTTTCGTTAATTAAAAAGTTGGTTTACGTGCGTCGGGCTAAGTTGAACAAACACTCTTAAATTAAATGGAAAATTTGGGACGTCATGAACACGCGAGCAGAAAGCAGGTGTAACAAGTTGCAAAGTCAGCATGATTAAGTGTTCCTTTCATTCCTAAAGGCAAAATTCTAGGAAAACTTAAAATTTCTTACTGTCAAGGAAAAGAAATATTTCCATGTGAAAGTACTGCGGAAGAAGTTTCATTTGAACAATAACACTACAGGATTTCATCCACAGACTCCAAAGGCGAACAACATACTTAATGAATAGTGTTATGTGAATGTCCTCCCAAAGATATTTTATTTGAATGCATTTTCATATCGTAGGACTTTGCATAGTGATTTCAAAGAGACAGAACCACATACCTAACAGGGGCACCCAACGACAATTTTCGAAAAAATATCTGTTCGGAAGACGATTTGAGATCTAGAATTTTCGGAACATTTGTTGTAAAATTTCTTGCTTGCCTGCCTCTCCTAGGATTTTCGGACATCTAAAAAAATGGTATAATCGCCTTTTTTTTAACGGATTTTTACCCTAAAAAGGCCACCTAGAATTTTCGGGAGCCTTTTTTCTCGCTAAAATTTTCGAAAAAGTAAGTTTTGATCCCTATAATTTTCGGATCACTTGACTTTCAGCTAAGAAATCCGAACAGATGAAAAATTTTTAGGGGATAAAAATATGCCTATATCTACCGTTTAAATACTAAAATACGTTAAACAATTCTATGTTTAAGTGGTTTTGAACTATATTCTCGTTGGGTGCCCCTGACCTAATAAAACGTACCATGGAGTAAAATAGCGGCTAGAAAGGTTTCATTTGAAAGGTCACACCAAGGTTTCATCCACCGACTCAAACGTTAGAACTAATAAGCATACAAAACCATTTTACAATATAAGTGGCTGAAGAAGAGTTTCATTTCAACGCACACATCATTAGATTTTGTCCATAGACTCAGAAATCTGCTACCACCTGGGAATGGACTGACCCAGAAACGAAAGGGACTAAAATGCAAACTGAGCGCTTCCTTCTTCAGAGTAATTTATTAATTTCTTTCCATGTTCCTTATAATTTGTGTTAATGTACATCAATTAATTATCCCACGTTTTCAATTTTTAGCATCTGGTCTGGAGAACGTGCTTTGAAGTAACATCACTTTCGACAATGACAATGCTTTCGACTGACACCGGTTGTGCGTAAATGATAATATGTCAGGATCGTTGACGAAACAAAGTTCAACGCTTTATCTCCGCAACATATTATCACAAATAAATTTAACAAGCAAATAATATTTGATGCCACGACTGTTAACGTGTCGTTATGACAATTCAGCTGTGTTGTGGTTTTGTTTCATCCACGGCTCAAGTCGTATAATTAAAGCAGCAAAACACAACTAAAATGCGTTTGCGTTATTTTTAAATTGCTACTTAAGGTTTTCTGCCATGGCGAAAATAAAGTCGTGACCACAGAATAAAGATAAAATAAGAGAAAAATTACAATAAAGCTATGTTTATATACCAAACTAGTGAATACCATCGAACCGTCCGTAAGCGACCACCCAAAATGCAAAGACTTAGTGGTCGTTTTATACGAGAATCGAACCACGGGGGATTTCTTCCGAGAGGAAGTCCGGTCACATCTTCTTTAAGGAAGAGAATTTATTGCATGTAATTCCAAGTTGCGATATGTGCAGTTCCATGTTGTTACTATTAAAAGTTCTTCGCATATTCTAAGTAGGATAGTTCACACAGAGACCATAAGAGAGCGGAAAACTCATCAAGTGGTCGCTAACAAGAGGTTGAAAACAATATAGACTACGAATAGTCCCCCATCTGTCGTCAAGGATAGTAGAGCGTGCGAAACGCAAGCGCGCGTGAAAATAAAATGGGGACTCCTCGTAGCCTCCAAATAGTGGTCGCCGTCGCTTACAGGAGGTAGTCGTTTACAAGAGGTTCCAACTGTAAGACTTAAACTGGGAAAGTTTTGGTGTTTTGCATAGGTGGTCGCGTACAAGAGGTGGTCGTACTTGGAGGTTCGATTGTAGTGCTTTTCGCGCTATCTGATTGGCTACAGTTCGGAGGCGATTATCCTTTGCTATCCCTCTCCCAGCAAAAAAGGCGTCCGTTTTGCTTTAGCGTAACGAAAGCGGAAAAACGTTTCACAGGGTTCGTTCTCTTGTGAGCTCTTAAATTCCATGATTTTCTATGACTTTTTCCATGACCTTCACCAGTTATGCATGACCTTCTTATGTTTAGCTGTCGCTTTCGAAAAGTTTCAAAACAATCCTCTGCAAACTTTTCGAAAGCGACAGCTAAACGAAGGTATTTTTTTTACAGAACTCAGTTCAACAAATAAATAATCTGTCTAATGACATGTCTTTGCCATATTTTTCTTGCTTTGACATCTTCAGTGATTAATCTAACAAACACAGCTCTAATTTTCCATGACTTTCCTGGCCTGGAAAATGAAATTCGTAAATTTCCTGACTTTCAGGGTTTTTTACGACCTGTACATCCCTGGTTTCATGAACCAGCACGCGTGATAAGACATGGGCTCAAAGTAGTTGTTTTCTTTTTTTTTTTTTTCAAACAGCAGTTAGAACAGGGTTACATAAGTGTTTGCCCTTTATTCAGCGGTTCGTTTTTTCCAGCCTGTTTAACCATTCTTGACCATACTTTGCCCTTTGCTTTGATTAATTTTTGACTTTTCAGCAGGTGCGTACGCGTGCGTAATTTTTAGAACTTTTCAGGCAGGTGCGATAATTAACGGGCCCGGTAAGCGGTCTCCGTTTGCATTAAAGATCGAAATTTCAATAGCTTTGCATCTAACACGATAAAACTGTCAGTTAATGAAACAAAATGGAGTAGTTTGCTAGCCAGGACCCGCGCTCTTATTCTTTATATTTCGATTTGAATATTTGATTTCGGGCCCGTAAAGTTACCGGGACTTTCGAGAAACGGGCCCCTGGTTACATGGAGATGGGAGACCCCAGATAGGTGAGGTAAGATGCGGCGGGTCACCCCACCTATCATGTAAACGTGATCAAATTAAAATGGGAGATTATATACAGAGGCAAGCTACCCCACCTAAGCGGGTTACCTCATCTTCCTGGGGCCCCCCACATCCATGTAAACAGGCCCTACGTCCCTTTTTGGAAACAGCGTGGCTGAGTCAGTGTCAGCCGGTCGAAAATTCGTTCAGTGCCGTGTGTACTAGGTAGCCTTAATTTTTAGTGTCTGACCTTGTCTGTGGGCCACACCTATGTAAACTAATGGGCCACCTGTAATTATGGAGACAAAGGCATTCCACTTGTAGCCAAGTCTACCACAGACTCAAATTGTACAGTCAGAACCTATTTCGCTCACGTTAAGGTAAGGTAAAGGCCAAAACTGCCGGAGCTTAGCCCGGTTTCCTTAAAATGATGCATGCCTAGGAGTATTACTACTCCTCCCTGGACGGGGTGTTAGTCCATCGAGGGGTTACCCCCAGCAGTTGTCGCCGGTACCCATTTATACATCTGGGTAAACCTTTAAAAAGGGAGCACAAAGAGACTCTAAAATTTAGAACCATTTACCCAGATAAGATAATTTATAGGACATGATGAGCATCGCCGGCATTGTCACAATGGCGATGGTTTTGAAAACCATGTTTTGGTGCGTGACAAGATAAGGAAAAGAGATATACATTAGTTGGGCTCTTATATTTCAGAGCCACCGTAACGTTGTAAAATGTTATTATGTAAATGGTGGTTCTAACTTTAAGTCCGTGGATTTAATAGTAAAATGTAGTCTTTCAAATGAAGACTGCTGAGGGAAGTCATAAAGATTTGCATATTTTGGCTATAAAAGGTACTTCCTTATACTGATGACGCTTAAGAAGTGGCTAATTTTCTTTACCCGGCCATAGCTACCCACTGGCGCCACCACTAGAGGCCTTTCTCAAGAGAGTTAAAATGAAAGTTTTTTCGCATTATGGGAGGAAATATTTCGTTAGTTATGAATTGAAACAATGATTTTAAGTGCATTTTCTAAGTCTAAATAGAAACTGAATTAACTGAACTAAGCTCCGCGAAGTCTGTTCAGACCGAACGCAACACACACGGAAACAAGAGAATGTTAGTCAACTAAAGGCTACTTAATATCTAGTTACGTAAGCATTGAAATCTTGAATTCAGACAATCATGAAACAAGTGTATTGTATTCGAATGTCTTGGAAGTTTGCCTTTTATTTTCCACTTACCAAATTATGAATATTAATTCTAAAATGTTCGGACCGAAAATTGATTTGACCACATCCTTATGAACAGCCAAATTATTGCAGAAACCAGTCGAAGCGCAAGGAAAACAATTGTCACTGGCTGATCGAAAATGCGAGAATGGGTTTGCTTGGGTAAGGGAGGGGGCGGACGCTCATTACAAAGTTATTACAAAACAAAATTACTTATAATTAGAAAAGACGACCCGCCACAATGAACTATCTTCTCTCGTTTTATCTAAAAAACTAAACACTTGGTAGGTGGATCACAAAGTGAAATCTGAACGTTAACCATTCAATACTCTGCGTTCGTCCTTTCATATTTTAATATTTGTTCTTCAAGGACGAACGTGGTATTCTCTTGTTTTAAGGCGTGTTATCCTTATTTTCGATCTTTCGAGAAATTACACGTCGTTGGGAAGCGTGTGAAATTAAAACATCTGCATTAAAACCTGCACCTGGCAGAAACGGCGACTAGGTATTACAAAGGCTCGCATCTTATCAGACAATTAACCACTACAGACGAGATGGACACATTTTTGCCCAATAACCCGGTTGGATTAACAAGACAATGCAATGTCTTAAGTACAGCCTAATGTATTCTCCCACAATCGACTCGCGCTGAGTTTCAATTAAAGTTGCCAACGACGTGCAAATATCAATCCAGCGATAAATGCGACTATGGTGACTCATCAATGTCGTTAATGCATTTTCTTAATAAAGACCAAACGCATGTAAAAAGCGAAACATGTTGTCTGCAGAATTAAAAGGAAGACGACGTCACCGAAAGGAAGGCAAAAATAATTTTTTTTCATCCATTATTGATGCCTAAAGAATTACCAGCAAATGGTAAAACAGCCGAGCGAGTGTATATCACAAGAAACTCTGAACGTTTCATGACCTGAAAAAATACTAAAATAAAAATTAACGACAGTCGACTTGAAACCCCGCATCCAAACGTACCAAATTTCTCCATCAACGGTCAATGACTAAAAGGGAACATGCAGTAAACGAATATCATTATATTGTGTGTTCATCAAGAAGTATTCTCTCGATTGACAATCAAAAATTGCGACCAAAAAATTGTGTTTCGCTTATGAGTAGTGCTGAGCTCAAGATATCAATTGAACGAATAATGCTTTTCGATTTTTTACAGCCTTAAAATTTTCACACAAAGTTAACGTTCAGCTTTTTGGTCGCCTGAAAGGTCGCTCATTGTTAGAAGCTTCTAATAGTAAAATGATTTAAACGATCTGTTGTCAAGGACAGCGGAACACGATGAGGTTACGACTGGATAAAGTCTTGGGATATTAAGAAGGAGTTAGTATAACGTTTCACCTGATTTTCTTTCTAGGTAACTAATGGACAAACTGCGATGATTCTGCAAGTTTTCAATTCCAGATAAAATATCCTTTTTTTCACAAAAATCAAAATTGATAAGCTATCATTCGCTTTAACTTGAAATCTTGTACTTTTACCCCAAATGCTTCGTGGGTTTTTATTCCAATGAAAGGAGACAGAGAGAGCAAACCATGCCGTGAATCGGTATTAGTCACCCTGAGGGCTCTTGAACAATAGTATGACAGAAATTGCTTGCCTTAAAATTAGAACCAAATCTGCGAAATTTGCCCGTATCTGAGTCCTTTTTTTTTGCAAAGACAATCACAGAAGAATTGAAGTCCTAAATTCTCCTGAGAAAATCAAGCCAGAGCCTCGTTTAAAATTGACTGATCGACACCTGTTTATCTTGATCTTTTTTCTCTTTTCGACGTTCCGTTTACTAAAATAGGTTAAGCTCCTGAGAGGGACGACAGTGTTCTAACAGGTTGACATAGCTTTGACAAAATTACATAGGATTTCACAGCGGCATCTGCGCTTGTAAACTGCTTTTAGCCCAAGCCATTTGCAAAGTAAATAAATATCACCTGCTAGAGCGGATAGCCACTAAGTGACAATATTCCGGCAATGCTTCGGGTGCCATTTATTCGATGGGTTAGAAATGTTTCTGGTCCAGCTCTTCAGTCTCAGAAATTAGTCTACAGTGATTACACTGTCTGAATATACAAATAAGCTTCTCCTTAAGAGCACCTTTGCAAAATGGACAATCGTGTAATGAGTACGGTTCTGCAGTGAAGCTACCCTGGGTGCCAGAGGCTTTTCATGCGCGGTTTCCAGTTTCGGTCAAGTCTTTTAAAAGTGACCCGCTTCGCCGCTCGTGTCTTCGGCCTTTGGCCGACGAAACGAAGCTCCCCGTCGCACGCGAGAAAAAACCTCTGGTACCCAGGGTACAGTGAAGCTGACCACTCATCATATAGTGCCCCTCTATAGAGAAATACGGACACCTCTCTCATGCGGACAGTTGGCTCTGTCCCTCTAGTGTCCACCCCGACGTCTTACTGTACTCATGCATGAAGTTCCACAATTAACTGTTTAACCTCAAAATTCACAAAAATTTCGTCCGACACAAGGCCAAATTATTGCAGAAGACGTTTCGTTTGCATGGTCACGCTAAGGATTTCGTCGGCATCGGCAAAAATAATGGACCAACCTCTAGTTTCTCCCTATCAGCAAAGGTATCAGACACAAGTAGAGAATTAATGAAATGATCGCTAAGAAGTAAAGGTGCACACGTGCCCATGAGCCCACAAGGCCGGAGCCTTAAACCCGCGCCGGGCATCTCGGAGTACGGCAACTGCCCGCTTTAGGACAGGGTACCAGTCCATCACAGGGCTATTCCCAGAGGTGTCTCGCGTCATTCTCGATTTCACACCTGGGCGAGGAGAGACAACAAACAGGAGCAAAGAAACTAGAAGACGGTAAGGCTTAAACCTGGTACAGAGATCGAAGAGGGAGGTAACTGCTCGGAAATTATATACTTAAGCATGTCCCGATATTTCCACAAATTCTCGACAATAGTAGTATAAGAAAAGAAAGCAAACAGTGTGGAGAATATAACTACTGATATTGGGCTTAAACGACAGAGATTCAAGGAAACATCTCATTGGAGACAGTATATTTCCGTTTTGATGTTTTCTGTGCGACACAACGCATTGGGGTTGCATCTCGTTGGACCAACACCAACACCAACAACAACAACAACAACAACAACAACAGCAAGTCGCTTGGCTTTGTGCAAAATTTCCTGACCACGGAGAGAACAAAAGAGAGATTTTCTTCCAATTGGAAAATCTCAGACAGCGGCAATTGCGACAAACCGTTTTTTCCTTACATTTCCTCGTTTGTAGCGATGGCTTGGAAGGATCTAACCAATATGCCTTAAATTCTCACTACCGACGCAAGCCCAGCGGGCTAAAAAGCTTCCCTTATTTGCCAAATCATCCTCAAGACGTTATCAATAAATAACTGGTGCACATAGATTTCTCCGTTACAATTAACACACATCTCAAAACGATTTCCCTAAATCCACAGAAATTCAATCTAACGTCAGTTACTTGTATTAAGGCTAGTTTCGAGAAAACAAAAGAGCAGCTGAGGAGAGTGGTGTTGGTTTGGGGTAAGGGGGAGGGGGAGGGGGGCTTGCTAGAGGCTATTCTCTGTACAATACCATTGCCGTTCTTATTTGCAAAAGGTGGGTATCGTAATTGCAAAAACAGAAAAGACTTGTTAAAGCGAAATAACTTAATACCCACCAAAAATCATAATTTTTGGTACGAAATCAATTTTGTTAAGATAAGTCTCAACTGGTATCAATAAAACAGGTACAAATTATGTGAAAATACATATAAATACATAAAAAATATGTAGACAAAATCCCGAAAAATAAGCTGCTAAAAAGCGTCAGCCAGACCATAATTTCGAATTTCAAGCGCGCTAAACACTAAAAATTAAATACAACCTTAAATCAATACTGACAAGACACTGGGATGGCCTTTTTTAACAAAGTGGTCAGTTTTATTGCATAGTTTTTGTATAGCAGAGTGTTTTAGAGAACTTAGAATAAATAATTTTAACGAAATATTCCGTCAATACGATCAAATACGTTTTCATCTATTTTTGTGTCAATTTTTTTAATCAACAGTGTGACTTGTATGCAAATTTCTGAATTTCGTTCTTTTAATTTTCACTGCAGTGTTTATTTCTTACATTGCAAATATTACTGCGAATGGGTGCTCCTATTTTATCCTTTTTTTTTGCAATAAGCTTCTCCGTGCAACTTCAGTACAATTTCTATAAGAATTTTAGTGGATCTATGATCGAGGCGAGTGTCTATTTCATCGCTAGAAAATAACATCTTGTGTTATAACAATGCAACCGTTCAAATCAGTGGATACGAAAATTATTTCTCAACCGAACAAAAAATACTGCCGCGGTGTGTGTTTAAAAAGCTGCAATTTTCGACTGGTTCGCCGAATTGGGTATATACAGTTAGCAATGGTAAGCAGCATCGATTCACGAAGGACTTGAATTCTAAAACGAATGAATGAACATACATTGTCTGTTTGTTTAAAGAAAATAGAATTCTACATTACACTGTATGAATATTAATAACACCAAGATCTATTTACATCAGGAATTTCTTCCACCGGTGGCAAGGCCATCCATACAGAGACATTTCTTGAAAATTCAAACAATGTTCTTCTGCTATTAAATAAATTCACTCTTAAATTTCACCATGTTTATAACTGTCAATTTGAACTGGGGCAAAGAACCGACCTCCACCTTCACTTTCGTATGACTCGTAGATTTCTGTTTTCATTTTTTTTTTCTTGTTCTTTTTTAATCTTCACGCCGATAAAAAGAACATTAGTGATGTTGGTTTGAGTGAGTCGGCAGTTTGGCTAGAGGTATCATGCATGTGCCTTTTTCCTGTCCTCGCTACAATCTTTTTTCAGTTTTCACAACGATCGAAGCTTGGTTCTTTTTCATCTGCTGCGTTTTCTCGCCAGGCGATAAATCCCCCGAGTCAAAATGCACCACCAATTGTAGCAGCCGCAGAAACCTGGCCATAAAACCCACTTAACATCCACAAAACCAGAGAAGAGTGGAGTCGAAGAAATTGCCCCATGGCAGCGTGTCCGCTAGCTTTCAATTTATTCAACAACTACTAAGCGATTCCTATAGCGGGTTTGAATAAATTTCTCCATCTGGTGTATATTTCGCAGTGTTTGCCCTTCAGCATGAATTCGAAACTCTGTTCATTTCATATTGCTTTCTGTTGCACTTGATAGCGACGTGACCGCGTTACTTCCTTTGGTGGGATTTTCTAGTGCGAGGATTATGTCCTGATGGAGGTCGATATTTCTTTTATGATCGGCATTGTTCGCTGTCTGAAAAACCTTCAGTTCGCCGAGTTCCTTAAGAAGTTTTAATGTATCTTCGTTCACCATTTGAATCGTCGGCGCGAGAACCGATTTTTCATGTTTCTTCGAGGCATCCTTGCGGTTGGGATCTACTCTTTGCGCTGTCGAGCTTGTATCGCTCGAGGTATTTTCTTCATCCCGTTTCTTTGATGGTAGACATCCCATTATACCACGCTTAAAACACTCTCTCATCTAAAGAGGGAAACATCGCGATTACTGAAATAGCATTAACAATCAGTTTGCCGCCGTAAAAAAGCATCGTGTTCTGTATCCATGGCTCTCACCCGATCGCTTTTGGCTGTGTTTGTAGCTCAATTGCTTCAGATCACCCTCTATATATTGCTGGACGGCATTTAATAATTAACTAAGGGAGACAGACGTGTTTGCCTTGAAATGACGTCACTTTCCGTTGTCAGAGCTGAATTTATGCACAGTTTCTGTTGCTAATGTGTAAAAGCGGGATTTTTTTGTTAATCATATCGATTCTTAATTCAAGGAGGAGTTATCAAATTCGCGCAAACCTCTTCTAGACGAAAGGTCACGCAAGGAAAACAGAGTTATCTATACAAACCAGCCAATATTCAACTGAACTACTCAAGCTCCTTATAGAAGTTAAAATAATACTTCATTCAATGTTCATCGATCTTGAAAATGACTTCAAAATAACAACAGCTGAAAGCACATTCATGTTAGAGTGGAAATGAATTTACACATCATCGAGTCGATTTTTTTTGTTGGAACCGTACACTAAGAGGGACATATGCTGTCAAAATACGCTGAAAATAGAGTGACCGCAAATGGAATTAATACCATCTGAGCCACATGGAGAACTTTTCATCTCCGACGGCATCGAACGTCTTTTGTGGACTTACTAAGTTTTGGAATAAAGGGGATGAAGTAAAAAACCATAAGAATACCCAAACTTGCCTGATGATATAATTTCACAGCAGAGAAGAAGAAAGAAGAAAACGCAAAAAAACTTACCTTTCCCATATGCACCATAAATGCCGAAATAGAGAAGAAATGAAACCTCGGAGACAATTTTCGTTTTTAAAGTTACGCGAGAAGTTTGTGTGAACGCGCGAAAGCGAAATACATGTATAGCTGCTTGAGTTGTGCAACTTATTCCACACTGAACGTGGCCAGCTTACGAAATAACACTTCAAAGCGAGTGGGCTATAAGACAGTAATTTGTCATGACGTAGATAATTCCCCGGTGAGACTGATACGCATCAACTGTCGTCGATGTCACATTCGGTATTGATAAGTATATCACGCACATCGACGGACCGGTCTTGCTTCAATGTAGGTCACGCCTTTGAGTCTTGCCTAAAAATACGCCAGCAAGCGAAAAAAAAGTGATGTAGTAAGGAGGAAGTAAAGGTATGCTGAAGAATATATCAAGTTTGGCTGTCAGCATTTGCCTCGTCAGGAGGCGTGCGTGTTTTCTCGAAAAACAATCAAAGCGGCACTAATCAATGATCCAACCCACTGAGTCTATTTAAAGAGCATTATGTTTTCATTGTTGGTTTTAATATTGAGGATTACATGACCCATTGTGGACCGCGGTTGCTGTAAATATTCTCCGTAAATCGATAAGAAATCACGGGGTTGGGTGTTCGGCGATGGATTGGGGTAAAAACCGAAACAGCGTTTCCAAAAAGTACGACGGCATCGCGTGTTCTCGAGAACGTTCGGTCCAAGCCGTGACGTATACTAAAATACAATCACTTCGTCAAGGCAAACTGTACTCAACATATAAAAGAACGTTAAATTAAACCTAACACGCACATCGGGGGCCCTCAGGGAAACCGCACTTATTATAAATTCTTTTAAACTTTGAAAGTTAATCACGGGGACACGTAAATAATATTATCTACGACCTTCTAGTCTGTGGACGGAACCCTCTAGCGTAACCATTCAAATACAACCTCTTCGGCAGCCCTTCATCTTAGTTGTACTCGTTTATTCGATATTGTCCAAAATGAAATTTGGGAATTTTCTTGTGGTAATCGTAGAAGAAAATACTGAAATAGCAACGGCTGATATTGGCCTAGTGACGCACGTCGGATAACGTTGCCAAGTGCAAAATAGGCAAGGCAAAAATAACGTCTAGAATTTCAAAACTTCAAGCTATTTTAGAGAAGGTCGTCTGAATGAAAATATCTTAAGAAGAATGCTGTAAATGTTCATTGTTTGAAAGCGAACGAGCTAACAACAAAGTACGTCAAAAGAAACTCAGTATCCGTGGTAACCTTTAGTTACATAACATAACCTTACGTTACATAAGCTCCCCATGGTCTAAACCAAAAATAACAGTCAAAAACGGGAAAAAAATCTTAATGCATTGAAGACATCTATTAAAGCAAAAGTGTTAAGGAAGAAACAGTGGACGGACTCCAATCTGACGTGTTCAAATATTCGAAAAAACTGGTTTCGAAGCTTGTGGGCTACACTCTTCATAGACCTAGGGCAATAGGTAGAAGTACAAAATCCCTCTAACAACCCGTATATTTGTCATACAGTGTTTTGTATTTACTTCTTTGGGTTTACTGAGGAGAATTTGTGAAGAGATCACGACATTTTGCCTTTTGCAACAACTATTTTATATAAACTTCACATGCGACTAAGTAACTAACGGTGCTGAAGAACTCAGATACTCAGATGGTACCAGTTGTTTATAAGGCTTAAAAAGTTTAAAACTTCATTTATTCGGGCAGACCTCGAGCGGGAATGGTGGATAAAGTGAAGGATGGGGACCCTTACGTAGCGGTCATGAGGCGCGCCTTCGGACCAGCAACTATAAGGAAGGACCTGCCTATAGGCAGATCACACATACACACCTACAATTGCACTACAACCCCCAGCTTAGAAGTGCGTTACTGGAAGTTAAGTTCGCACAACCTCTTACATTTGACATCTTTGTATTTTAACCTTAGTTGACAAGCATTTTTTTGTGTTCACGTGACCTTTTTCAGTAAAAGTAAAGATAATGATTTCACGTATTTTAAGTTGCTACCCTTAGTATTATGTCCTGTCAGCGAGTGTGCTCAAATTGTGGGTGAATCCTTCAAAAAATGTTAGATTATTGTAAGCATTTTTAGCATCTTACACCCTACTAGTGAGCAGTTACTAAAGTTAGAGGGTATTTATTTATTATTTATTTTATTTTATTTGCCACACAATAATTACAAAAAATATAGGAAAAGTAGAAAAAAAGAAGTGGCGAGGAGACCTAACAGAAACTATAGGAGCTTATGAGAGGTTAGGCCTCCTCGAACTACGGGTTAAGAGCTGTTTAACATCAATTGAAGAAAAGATGATGGAAAGATCTATGAACTGTTTTGCAGAGCAACAATCAATTAAAGGTCTGTCCCCTTCGAATTGCAATTGGGGGTGACTACGCACAAGATTGAGACATTGAGAACGTACTTTAACACTCGCGAACAAGAAAAACAGAGAATTAATGCTGTGCTATGGTTAAATGAACATGGGCGACATGATTCACTCAGAGGCGAAGTCGAAGTCCAGAATATGAACCCAACCTGCTGGGATCCCATCGACGTCTGTGAACTAATTAATCCGAGTAACCGTTAGCAATTTGTAGATATCTGGAAGCAAGCACTATTGAGAACTCAGAACTAATGTCCAGATTTTAAGTCTAGCTACGTCTGTTACTTTCAGGTGGTCAATGCTCTGCGTTGCTATTCTGATCAGATAATGGAGCCCATATTGTAATGAGGGAAATTTGTAGATATTGGATTTTCCAGACGTGTTACAATTGATGTGTCCGCCTCAAAGAAGAATCCACATTCTTTTTCTTATAGAAACATCTAACTATTTTAAAACCAAGGCCTAGTCAGAGCTAAAAGCTTTTTTTTAGAGATATCTGAGTATCAGGATGCTTCTAGGTAATATGTTGAAATATTTTCAATAACCTGTTTTAAACTTAAAAACTGCATTGCTGTCGTAACGACAAACATAAATTACTATTAATACTGTTGTCGTAACCAGTGAACCATTGGGTTCACGTTGACTTGTTCCATCTCATCACCTTGAATTGTTTGACATAAACTGGTCTTTCTCTTGCTTAGTTTATTTCTACCCTCTCTTTTCTGGTTTTTGCTCCTTAATCGTAAACCTTAATATATGCGAACTTTCATCTATTGATTACTACTCACTTAGTTTCATTTGGTACTTTTTGTTTGTTTGTTTGTTTGGAAATTTTGTTGAATCTTCAGTTTATTCGGGAGTGAGAAGTAATACGCAAAGGAAACTGAGACAGGCAGTAAGGTAATACAAAAAATATTAAATATTAAAACGGGAGGAAATAACAAAACAATAATGCCAGGGAGATTCGTCATCGTGATCAAGCTAAGAGGAAAAAACAGATGACGTAGGTTTCATCGATGTGGGAAGCGCTCCCTTCCCTTTTCTGATAAAAAGGAAACTATAAGCTCACATTTACATATGGAGGCAAAAAATAACGTCCATGACACGGCCAAAAAGTTCTATAAAAAAATCCAAGGAATGTTCACCAACCGCGAACCGGTAGAAAAACAACAGACAGACTAGAAGGAGGGTCAAGGGACGCGTGCAAGACAAGGAAATTACACTTAAGAAGAAGTGAAATAAAGAGCTCATAGAACAAGAGACACGTGAGGAAAGAAGGGCAAAGAACAATTATTTAATAATAATAAAAAAAAAAAACAGCCATTTTTTTCCGAAACGGAACATTTCTCTTACAGCGATATACAATCTTAATAAAAAAACTTCGCCTAAGATATTACCACTGAAACTCCCCAAGGAAGGGGAGTGTCAATAAAGAATTGTACAGGTAAATAGCAAAATTTGACGAACGGGGTGTACGTCATTCTTTCAGTTTTGCTTTCCTGTGGGAAGAAAGATTAAGCCTGCATAATTATCAAATGATTAAGCCCGCACAATTATCAAATAATAAAAAAAGTAAACTACCTATGGTGAGGTTCCTTTCTGAAGCTTTCGAATAAGTCCGTCGTCCTATTTACTATGGCTGCGAGAGACCTCTTGCGACTTCGTTCAGTGATCACTCGGCCGCCTAATAAGCTCGCTTCGCTCGCCTTACAGCTTTTCTGCTGTGAAATTGGCGAGGTCGACTTGTGGCAATACTATTTCTCCCGCTTAGCCTATGTGTAGCCGCACCCTCCCCCACCCCACGACAAAGGAAAAAGGCAGAGAGGAAGCACTCTATCCGTTTTTCCTTTGTCAATAGCGACACGTTTGTCAAGCCACAATTCCAAAGTGTGGTAACAGGTGTGGTGAAAATAAGCAACGCAATGTTTCCCTTGTTTGTTTATGCTGTTGCCGTATGGTCCAACTGAGGCAAAGACAGGGGCGTTCAATCCCCCAGAAATTTTGAACTTTAGTCTCAAAATGCATTTGCAGCGTTTTCTGCGTTTTCATATTAATACGGCGAAAATTTTGAGTTATATTTTGGCCACGAAATCGTTTCTGAGAGGCCCGATGATCGCTTAAAAATAAAAATGATCGGCAAAAAAAATTTTACCGAGGCGAGTTTTGGCCTTTACTAGCTACGGTGTCACTGAATCAAATAGCCCCAAAAGTTGTTTACTTTATGAATCAAATGCCCCAAAAGTTCCTTAATTACTTTGACGAAAATAGATATTTCAGGGGTTAACATCTTCAGTAAGGCCACGACACTCGTGCTTGTTCCTGAGGCGCTGTTTACTATGCTGTAGAGTCTGTGGATAAATCCTAAGGACCACTTAAATCCAAAGGTACCGAATTTTCTTGTTAACCCTTTACGCCCCAATGTCCACATATAAATTCTCCATACTGATCTTCATACATTTCTTTAAAGAATTAGTTGAGAGAGTTTAATAGCAGATCAAAGCATTTTTTCTTTAGTGATCATTTTATCAACTCTCATAACCATTCCTCTTGGCAACATATGGATATTGTTAGGAGAAAATTGATGTTGGTCACTATTGGGACTTTAAGGGGTTAAAGTACAAGACCTGCTGAGCGGTGTTGTCTGGACAAACCAGAAAATTTGACTAAAAGACGTCAAGTAAAATGATTTGGTAGTCCGTTCCACGATTTTTTTCGTTTTTCGTTTTTGTTTAATTCTCCATTTTTAAGGCGGCAACTTGAACTAAAGACTGAGTGGAAAAGTTGGATGCTTTCTAGCCTGCAAAGTAGGCGTATTTTGCAGTGAGAAAGATGATACCATAAATGTTCTCCTACCATCTTGGTCGTGAAAACTGACAGAGAGTTGGGGCGAGTCTGCTCTGCAGGCTAGATGCTTTCAAAACATAATCAATTGAAAATAGGTTTATGCGCAAAACTTAACACTCAGTTTAAAGCGACTGACACAACTTCGAAGGAAACCGCAAAAAACTTTTGACAAAAAGGGCATTTACCATGACTTTGTATCACTGTCATCTGCGTTCTTCTACTTGAAACCCACAGACTACAAGGCATGTGCGCATGCATGGATAGCTTCTTAGTGAAGTGTATGTTGGTAACTCTGGGGTCACGTTTTTACGTTACCACGACACGTAACTACTTAATGACAACAAGTGCGTATCACATCCGATAAAACTTTGGGTCTTTTGGCTAAATTTAGAATCGGTGTGCTGTCTCAAAAACGCTCGCCCGCAGCAAAGCCACGTGTAAAAACGGGACCAGAAGTCATGCATTTTAAAATAAGAACTTCACAGTCTTTGCCTTAACGAGTTTGGTAGTCACGTTCGCCTGTATTTCTTGCGTGTTCCAACACAGTATGAAATAAATAACAATAACAATAATATTATGATGATGATGGCCGCGTCTTTTGAAGCTGGCTAGTTTGGTGTTATTTGTTGCCTTTTTGGTGTTTTAATGAATAACAAAGCTGTAATAGAATAAAGTCAATCTTGTTAACGGGCCATAATTAGTTTTACTATAATGTGCCCTTGTCCATTCTATTTTTTGTTTTTCTTTTTTTTTTTCTAATGTACACGTAGTTTAAACAACCTTGTACTAATTAATATTGTACAACTAATGTATTATCTATAGGATGGAGTAAAAGAAAGACAGAAGCAACAAAGAAAAAAATAGGGGACCATTCTCAAAGGGGAAACAATCAGGAAGTTTAGTTTTCGTGCTTCTCAAAAGAGATGTCACTTGTTAATACACGACCTCCATAGCCGTCATTCACGGCGGTTCAAATCAAAGTGACACGAAAATATTTTTTTGATTTTCAAACCTTGCATTGAGGGCTATTATTACAATGCACCGTTGGTCTCAGCTCAGACACAGAGCAAAAACTACATGCCGACAAGCAATATAATAATACTGCTTATCTCGCATGGGAGCTTATACCAGAAATAAGCATCTGGCCGGCGGGTGTCGTGGTCTTCTACGACTGGGAGTTTACATAGGATGTTAGTAAGCGCAACATAGTAATTTAAGACACTTGAACAATACTTGACCTCTTACAACCGTATGTCGTGACAAGTGTCCTTGATGACGCAGATTGCGGTTAAATTTGTTATATGTTGTTAGAACTATCTTAATTGTAGCAAGAGGATGAAGCTAGTTTCAAGCAATTGACTCGGAAAGAAATTGAAGCTACGTGTGGAAGGAAACTGAGGGCGTACCTCAAAGATTTTGCAGTGAAGCGTTCGTACACTAAACCTCTGCCTTTACTTCCAAGCGTATGTGGAATAAGTTTTGACCGGCGTTTCGTACAGGAATTTAATCAAAACAAAGCCGGGCTCTTGACCCCTCATAGCAATCATGGGGGACAGTTTTTTTTTAAAGGTTTCTTTTAATAATTTTTATGACGCACATTGTTAATCTCTTGTGAGCTCAGTTTCTACCATTAGAATCAGCGCAGATATTCAGCCGAAACTACGTGCCGGAGCTCATATTTCTCATATTTCGCAATTTCACGTGATAAGCTCATACCCCTGCGTCACGGGATATGTGGTTGGAGATATGTTCTAAGTGGAAGCTTATGCAGGAATTTAACTAAAGTATTGCACTGTAGTTACTTTGAATTTACTTTAAAATTTGTTTTTACTTTTGCAGATAAACTATCAAGCCGTTTTGGCCCCACCTGGACAATGAAGTAGGAAATCTAACCATAACTGTTCTTTTCTTTGAATGAAACAGTAGCGAAATATCGAAGGCTATTACCTTCGCAACATGTTACAAAGTATTACAATCAATATAATGCAGCACTTCATAAATACTAGTATCACTTTATCTAAAATTAAGCATGAGAGAGTGGCAAGCACAAAAAATACTTAAAGTCCTCATTTCGGCGGGGAAACAATCGATACTAAAACAAAGTGTATGCATGTTTTGACCACAATATCTAAATACATAGTCTTTTTTTTCTTTGGCCAATACGTTAAGATATGTTTGTTCCAAAAATAAAATAAAAAAGGAGAGAAGTTGTTGAATTACGAAGAAACGTAATGTCGACTAATTATACCCTTAAGGCTTGCTACCTTTCTGTTCGATGATTAGTTCTATGAAAGTGTTGTACCTGATTTGTTTTATTTTCTTTAATTCACAGTGAAAATTCAAATTGGTAAACATGAGCAACTCAAGTTCATATGACAAATACGATAATCCCTATCGTTACTCGCTAAATCACCCGGCGTTCGTAAAATGGAGCTAGATTTTGTAGGCCGATTGAACAAGCGCTCGTAACGTAAGGGCAAGAAATACATCTTTCTTCTTTGCGGCCGCTTTTAAGTATTCGTAGTTATATAATAAAGTTCGTGTGCGCACTGTTGCTAGAGGTTATCGAAAGATGTCGTGAGTACCTCTTATTGGTCAGTGGTGGCGTGAGAACAGTAAATGCTTGAATGGACTATGCTCTTAAAACCACAATGAGTAAGTACCACGGAAAGAAATCTGAGCAAGGTAGCGCTTCACAACAGCATTCAACTGACACGTTAGTATTCTCAATACTATAAAACACTATCAAAATAGCAACACCGCCTACTTAAGCCTCTTAATTTTTGCTTACTTGCCTTCCTGATCCTCTCACTTTGGCAGAAAGATTGACGCAGAAGGCGGAGAAAACGTACAGGGGGCGTGCAAGGTGAAAGAGAATATGAAGCTTTTCCTTTAAACCACGGCTAAGTCATCCCTTCATTCAAGGGTTGATTTCCAGTGTGGCGTAATTTGTACGTGCTACGTGCGTAAAACTTAAGTTGGCAAATAAAATAGAGGCAATGCATGAAAGTTCGCTCGTAAGCGTAAAAGTTGAACCTCGCTTAACCTCTCGTTTAAGCTCAGCACTTTTTATCTTGCCTCTATTTTATTTACGTGATTACAATTTACGTGCGTTAATGTGCGTGGCGAAAAACGCGTCGGTGGATAGCAACCTTCAGTCATCTCTCTGTGTTTGGGGAGCAAGGAATGGCCCAGTGGTGAGAACGCTCCTCTCCCACCAATGTGGTCTGAGTTCAGTTCCCGGCGTCGACGCCATATTTAGGTTGGGTCTGTTGTTGTTTCTCTCCTTTGCTCCGAGAGGTTTTTCTCCGGGTTCTCCGGTTTTCCCCTCTCCTCAAAAACCAACATTTCCAAATTCAAATTCGACCAGGAATCAGGTACACGGAGAATCATTTTGTGGATGTGCTACCTCAAGATCATTATATATTTATTTATCTCGATCGCTGCTCTCTGATTGCTTCCCTTCATTACATATATTTATATATTAAATCCTGACACGCAAACTGTTTTCGCCCACTCCACCAAACCCCTAAAAAACGGACGCTAAACGTTCATCTGGTCACATTTGATTGTGACCAGTAGTCTCCAAAAAGTATAATGATTGCAAGGGTTATCATACGACGACATCTCTGCGCGATTTCGGATCAGTGTTAGTAACCTTTGCATCTACAGTAATTGTCTATTTAAAATTCCGAGTTCCAAAATTTCTCACTTTCAAAACGAGGCTAAATGCAAAACCTTTCTTGTGACAATGAGTTATATTTCAATAGTTTCGCTTTTAGCCTCGCTTTGAAACAGAGGCTTGGGGCAACTCGGAAAGCTAAGGGACGGACCATTAGAAAAGTTATGGGGGGTGTTGGAGGGGATTTTTCGAGCCGTAGGAATTTTTTTTCGTTACCAATTTCCTTGTTCGATTTTTTTAGGCCATCGCATGAATATTTTTTAGGATTAATTGGCGTGCACGAATTTTTTGTCATTTCATTTTTCCTTGCACGAATTTTTTTGGGGTACTTCGCCCGCTCCCCCCCCCCCACATAAGTTTTCTAATGGTCCGTCCCTAAGAACAAAGAATGGTACCTGGTGATCTTCAGAAAACATGTCACCACAGTGAGATTGTAGATGGACCAGCTGATGAACTTGCTTTCATTGAACGCTGACGGAGCTTTCCTCACGTTATAACACAAGTGGATTCCCCAAAACAAGAACATGATTTCAACTAGGAATTAAATAACCAGACAACATATAAAAACATGAAATTTGAGCAGCACCGGCCCGATAATTAACTCGCAAACTGCATAGAAAGTTGAAAATATTGTATCAACTTTATGAATAAACATTACTAATTTAAATGACACAAATAAGATTGAACTCCTTTGCCTGATTTCTGCTCCACCCCGAACCCAGAATAATAAGGCGGTGTTAAAGCATAATTTGGGGAGGTAACATAAAATTCAAATAGTCAGACGTAGCAGCTAACTTCAAACGTTCAGTTCAGTCAAACATCTAACCGTGCGAAAATTTGGGCGCCTAGCTGTTCAAATAATTTGAACGCCAAAGTCGAAAAGCAAATTTAATCGGCGCAATGTGAACACCATGAACGTTTAACATTTTGTACGGTAAAGGAGTGGTTGCATGGATGCTTGTTAACTCAGCTGGACAACGCCATTTTGGATTTACTTTAGTAGCGCGCTGCGCATGGGCAGATGGTAAAACTGAAAAAAAAAATTCAACCTGGTTCCTCAGTTTCGCGTAAACTGAGCGGAAATATTGCACGGTTCTGTGTAGCCTGCAAAGCAGGCTAAGCTCGTTGCCTTGGCCGCTTAGCATTACACGATTTTATATTTTGTTTGAGCAAACTATAAATCCTCGAGACCCTCGCTTTAAGCACTGGCTAAATTTATATACTAAACTTATTCTCTACAGAGATAAAACAGCGACGCAAAATTGAAAATAACAACCCTACATCTCATCGCTTTGTAGGTTTCTAAGTTGCGAGCAAATTGGGAAAAGCGAAAGAAAGCTCTTTGCGCTTTTCCGCCTGTCGCCCTAAGGGAACCAGTCCAGATCCAATTGCAACTCGCCTGTCCATATAATCTCTCATTTTAATTTGATAACGTTTAGATGATAGGTGGGGTGACCATGAGAGATTGCTATGGACACGCGGGTTACCCACTTCCTGGGGTCCCCCAACGCCACGTAAAAAGGCCTTAAGTCAAACTTTCCCAGAAAAAAAAACACTTACAAATTAGTATGGCGTGGTCCCACCAGTCGATAGAACACTCGTCAAACTTAAGATCTCCAGGCATCTCCATTTCAATCACGTGACTTGGCCCTGCTAGCGACCATGCCAGCAAGTAGACTACATACAGCGCCAGAATGGGAGCGAGGCGTTGAAGGAGATGGCGGTCGGTGAGTTTTATCTTCTGTGCAGACTTGACGCGGAAAATCACCGAGATCCTGCAAATGCAAAAAGTTCCCATAGAACAATGGATTATTCCATGATAGAGCAAGGATATAAAAACAAATAATTCGAACCTCAAGTGTCGGGAATTCACGAAGATCTAATAATCAATCTTATTTTATTAACACCAATGAAATACCAAGTGAGCTTTCGCGAAAATAGGGACTTAAAGCAAATCGCCATGGTGCCCTCTACAACGGCGGCCGGAAGTAAAAGAGACCAAAAATGACGCACTGCGCAGCTTGGAAATGACCTTTCGCCGTAGCGCCAAATCCTACAACGTGAAGACCTGTCTTGTGGCGTAGTCGGTACTACATGAGTATGATGAAAGTCTTCTCGTATTTTTTACAAGCTCTGGTTTTAAATCCTATCATAGATTGTTTTTCAAATTTATAAAGAAAGTATTTGACGCTTCTGGTTTTCCACTAATTACGTCTTCTCTGCGTTTTACTAATAGCGAAAGCATGTGCGCTGAAGAACCCCATTGTCACTTTTTGAGCGTCGCAGTGCCAGGACTCCAGATCCACTACCGCCGTAGAAAAGGTCTCCGTAGCGACTTGCTCAAAGTCCCCAATATTATATCTTCACAACGTCAAAAGAACACTGTTACTATAATTACACAATAAATCGCGACTTTTAGTACAAAAAAATATCAAAGTGAAATGGTTTCGTATTTCGTTGGTGTTTGTGGCCGCTTGGAGGTACGAAATTATCCCCTACATCAGAAATAATCGGATTGACCCAACCAAACGATCATCGATTATGATCGAAACAAAAAACCTTTATTTTTAACCCGCGTGGAAGTCAAAGTAGAGTTTCACATAATACACCAAAAAAATAAACAAAACAACAAACCAACAGAGGGAATTATAAGCATGGTCACTTCATGTTTCGTTGCTTTCGTCAAGAAGGTACGAACCATATCATGAAAGGGCCATCAATGAATAGGTGCGGTCCATTTAAAAGACAACACACAAGTTTTCCCCGCAATAAACGATTAACAACTGCATCGCTAAAATGGAGGTTGGGTGCCTGAAGTATCCAGGGGCTTCCACTATTGGCAGCCAGCCCCATGACTGGCACAACAGCGCAACCCAGCCATGAGCCCCCACACCAAGGAAAGGAACAGGCACCCGTCACACTGAAAAAACATCAGTGGGGAAAAACCCAACAAGCCTAGGGGGAGGGCGGGAGGAGAAGAAAATGGCCGACAGAACCCAGCACGAAGGGAAAACTGAACGCGCCAAAGAATCACATGATCGATGTAGCCAGACATCGGGCATGCGCATGCCAAAGACCGCTGACCTAGGCACCCAGGCGCTCTTAGTTGTTAACTCCTTTAAATTGCATTTAAATGCATTTAAACATTTCAGTTCATGATCGATTATCGCGTTGCTTAAGGGCTTTGATCAATGGTCGATTATAATCAATGATCAGCACACCACTCAGACGAACCTCCATGTTTTCAGTAGAAGAGACGTAAAGGCCAGACCGAATCCAATATGTCGAAACCACAGTCGAACGATGCACAATGTATTCTTTGGTTTTGGGTATTCGACAATAATCTGAAGAAACAAACAACAACAACAACAACAACAACAAAACAGGTTGTCATTTATGTACACCAACAGCACCCCCCGGGGGGCACTCGACAAATGTTTATACGGGGAGACTCCGCCCCGAGGTCCAACCACTTACCATTTTTTATATCATTTTTTTTCACGAAAAAGGTACCCCTTTCGTATACCTTCTATTGAAAAATGGTGCCCCTTTCACATACCTTGTTTAGAAGTTTGCTTCCCTTTTAACTGCACTGTCTTTTAAATCGGAATCAATCACAAAAATAGAACGTTTTCGCGACTTTTCAAAGCCATACAATTAATCTGTGAGCCCTTTTGGCTCTTTCACAAACCCAAATGACCGATTTCCCTACCCTTTTATATACTTCAAGTAGTGAAATCCCTACCCTTTCATATACCTGAAGCTTGAAAAAGATACCCGGAGCCTCCCCTTATAGGCCATCATACAGAGTACCCCACCCACTCCCGGAACAGCACAAGCCCTTAAGGGGGAAGGGGCTATTTTACGCTGTTTGCTATCTCTTAAAAAACGCTTTAAGGTGTCTTTGCATCATGAAATTCAAAATATAATTGTCCAGTTTTGTTATTTTAACTCTATTTAGGCATTAAAACTGTTTTCTGTGGTCTGTTGATGTGGATTGCAAGAATGGACATGGATTGAAACCTGAAAAAGTTCGCCCAACTTTTATTCTATGCCTACAACGAATTCAGGGGATGGTGCTCCCTGGTAAAATTCGTTTGATACCTTTTTTGTTTTTGATAACTCTAAACGGGCGGGAATTTTGTGCATGGGTGATGGCGCTAAGGAGTGTCTTCAGCTCAGATTTGACCTAAAACAGCAATATCCTCGAGACAAAGCCCCTTTAAGTTTATTGTTGCATAGCATCAAGTCGCCAATATCCTCAACAAATACAGTAAAATTCCGAAAATAAGCCCCTCCATGTATTAAGCCCCCCCAAATATAAGCCCCCCAAAATCGTAACGCAAAAAACCCTCCGTTAAATCGCCCCTCCGAATATAAGCCCCCACGGGGGCTTGTACTTGGAATTTGCCCTCGAATACAAAGTAAAACAAAGCAAAAAAGGTACATTTCCTTCCCAATACAAGCTAGCCCAATCGATTTTGAAACGCAAATTTCCTTCCGTACATAAGCCACTCCGAAAATAAGCCCCTCAAAAAGGGGCTTTGAAAAATATAAGCCCCGGGGCTTATTTTCGGAATTTTACGGTAGTTCGACTCAACGATTGTCTTCTTTGAGCTAGATCCTGTAAATGGTTTGAACAGTTAGACGTAACTTTTGCATACAGATTCACTTGAATATCACCTGCAGAAAGATGAATAATGGTTTGCAATGCTTACATCACGACAAGAATAAATTCACGCGCATCTTTTTGATTGGTCAGATGGAATGCCTTCGTTTGCCCGGAATGTTTCACCCTTTTGGCTTTCTTCACAATTGCAAGCCTCAAATGCCATTTTTTTAAAAAATAAAAACATGATAAATCTAGACAATTGCCAATTTCTTCGATTGCTTTTAGTACAACTAACCTCGCAGTATTGCAAGATGCATCCCACTAGAATGATAACTAGGAAATGTGGACTGGATGTCTTTACAACCTGAGGGAAAAAATGCATTAAAATAAAACTGAGAATAACTGGCTTCTGAGATTATGCCTTTAAAGGCCCGTTTTTATGGAGGAAACTTTGTTGGGGATCCCAACAGGATCATTATATGTTTCTGGGAAACTGTCCACCTACCCCTCCCTAAGCCAACATTAACACCTACCTCTCACTTAGGATAGGATAGGATAGGATAAGTGCTTTATTAACAACAGAGCGCCTACAAACACATGTGTTTACAACGACAACAAAGATTTTCGTGCAATAATTACAGAGGTGTACATTTGTAAAATTTATACAACTATTAAACAAGGTTATATTTAACGCGTCTATCTCTTTCGCGGAAGCGATCATATACGTACTTAGCCACAATTTTTACGTTTTTTCTCCTTGCTTCATACTTATCAACGTTGCAAAGGCAGAGCTTGGAGTCATAGAGTCAAGAATAAGATTAGTTTCCCTTTTTAGCGTATTGAACAGCTCTCTCCTAGGATCCCTATGGGCTATGCAATTCATCAAAAAATGCTCCTCGTCCTCTATTCCAGTTTTACATAATGGACAGATTCTTTGGTCTGGTGGTTGATAGGGTTTAACGTATCGTCTAGTTTCAATTGCTAGTTTGTGGTTGCTTAATCTTAGCTTTGTGATTGCCACTCTATTGATTGATGTTTCTTACATTTGTGAGGTAATTTTCGTAGTCATGGGCACGTTTAAATTTCCTAAAAGTTCTTAGTTTGTTTTTTGATGCGGGTCCTTTCGTTCATCATTGTGTATTTCGCTAATCCATGTTTGCTGTTCTATGTCTGTCTCGCTTAGGACAAAATGTTGTCTTAGGGGAGGGTTAGGTGGGCAGTTCCCCAGAAACGTATTCGGGGTAGAAGGGTCACCCGCTACCCTGGTGAGCCAAATTTTCATAGATTGCCTAACGAAACGTGGCAAACCGCTTACATCAGAAAAATAAAAAACAAACAAACAAAAAAACGATAAAATGTTGGCTTGGCCAAAAGAGTGACTCGTCTAGGCGGATCACACTTTACAGAACCTATCCGATATATGACGCTCCACTTTTCGCCCCATGTAAGGAAATCCAAGACAGTGTTGGATTCTGGATTCCACGCTGTCGATTCCGGATTCCAAGTACTGGATTCCGGACTTTGTCGGTGGAATTTGGATTCCAGATTCCAATCGTTAATGGGATTCGGGATCCCTCGAGCCGTATTCCAGATTCCAAAGCCTCAGATTTCGGAACCTCAAGAAAAAGTTTCCCAGATTCCGGATTCCTCAAGCAATGATTTCTAGGACTCGGGAATCTGGATTTCCTTACATGGAGCGACACTTTCGAGACCGTTTGTATGTGTGAACGGAGGCCTTATCCGGTATGGTTTCCAGGCCGGCGCAAGAGCTACCCTATAAGGTGTGAACATATCGCCCTATATATTAAAAGGAAATCCAAGACAGTCTGGGGATTCTGGATTCCACACCGTGGGTTCCGAATCCCAAGTACTGGATTGTGGATTCTTTATCAGTGGAACCTGAATTCCGGATTCCAATCGTTAGTGGGATTCCGGATTCCTTGAGTGGTATTCGGGATTCCAAAGCCCAGAATTTCGGATTCCACGACTCACTTTCCTGGATTCCAGATCCACAAAAATTACCCCGATTCCGGAATTCGGATTCCTTTACATGGGGCTAAAACCATGACTTAAAAAAAAAACGAGCCCCAGGACTTGAATAGTTCCTAAGAACTGAAATACTAAGAGACGTCATCTTACCTTCAGCTCGCGAACGTAGATAACAAAGATCATCATGCCGAAAGCGGATAAAATGGTGAGAACTGTTAATCCCATTAGAGCTTGTCTCAGAGGCCAACTTAATGTCACGATACATGGTGAATCGTCCACGCACGTGTCGCATCCGGGTTGACACTTCAGACACTTAAAGGAGTCTGGATTTGAGTGATACGATGTTTTACTGTTGGCGGCTTGAGCCTCGATTTCAGATCCGTTGAAGTACTTGTCTTTGTCTGTAACGTTGGGGAAGAAGTACCCAGGCCTGCACACGCACTTGTAGGAGCCAGCTCGGAAACCGAGCCCGCTAACAAACTCACACTGCAACAGTAAAACGCATAGATTTAGTCAGTAAAGGGAGCACCTTTCTCCACTTTTTGTCAACGTCTACTCAATGGGCATAACCAGGTCACGCGTTGCGTGACAAATCCCTGCAGGCTGTTAGTATTTTTTGGGGTCTCCAGTTTGATAGCCTGCGTCGCAGATGTACTTTTTAACCTTCGGTTAGTAACGTCTGCGACGTTCTGGGCCCTCAACGGACTCAACTAAGTACCGGAAGTGCGTTTCGAATTTCATAAAATTGTAAATTGTAAAACTGTAATTTGTTTTACCCACGGACCACTAAGGAGTTCATAAGAACTCGTTGAAAAATGTCCGTGCGTTCCAGATCGAATTGAATTTGAAAGTATTGGTTTTTAAGGAGAGGGGAAAACCGGAGTATCCGGAGAAAAACCTCTCGGAACAAGGGAGAGAACCAACAGCAAACTCAACCCACATATGGCGTCGACGCCAGGATTCAAACCCGGGCCACACTGGTGGGAGGCGAGTGCTCTCACCACTGCGCCACCCTTGCTCCAGTACATACACTGTTTACAGGTAGCCATTACCGCATCTGAAGGAGGTTCAAGAGGTAATCCCTATATTAAGATCTCTCCTTACAAATAACCCACCCAGACAAGGAAAGGTTGGCCACACAACAGGGGTCTACGTTCCCTACTCTTTTTGAACAGTGGTGTGGGTTCTTTTGAGTCCAACAATAACCAGTAGTGCTGTGAGACGGGTCCTATGGTTTTTCGTCCTTATACGTGAAGATCCCAGACACCCAGATCTGGGTAGTGACAAGTCATCAGAATGGAATTTCTGCGCTTGTTTCTCAGACGCCATTTCGCGGGGAAACTAGTGGCGTGGTGTCGGGTGTCGCAAGATGTCGGCAGATTTCTCTGGCTAGTATTTTACCTGTGTAGTTTCATTTTTACAGCGGTGAGTGCCCGCAAAAATTTCGAACTGGAACTGGCCACTGGAGGATCTATCGCACTGATTAATATCCACATTCGTCAAAGCTATGTCGATTGTAGTCATACCCCTTAAAAAAAAACCAGAAACAGACTATTAAGAAGACGAAATACATTCACAGTTGCGTATTTTTAGTGGTTAATGTACTAGTAGAAGAAGCCAATACTTCAAATTAGACAAACGAATTCAGCCATATACTCTGCATCAGAGCACTGATTACTACGTAGTTTTACAAATTATATATTGCCGCAAGGGTGATAACCATTTGATCAGTGGTATAAATGATGGTACATTTAATACAAATTTACCTGGACCCTGTTGTTCAAAAGATGGACAACGCTATCTACTACATAAATCTCTATCTACTGGATAACGTAATTGGTTCCGGGCCCATAATATTCTTCCACTAGGGAATTATCCGATGGATAGCGCTATCCAACACCTGCGTTTGAACAGCCTGGGCCTGGTGAATAAATGGCAGTGACGTTTACTGAGTTACTGGCAGAGGTGACTAAGAAAATAGTTTTTTTTGTTATTATACATAAAATGGAGGCACGTTTACTTATTTCCTTTCCTCTCCCCAAAGAAGCAAAAGTCTACATTTGACAAAATGTCTAAATTAGCCCATGTGAAAGAACTGTCAAAGAGATTTCATCTGAATGGTCAGCATTTCGTCAGCAGGCCGAAAAGTCAGACTTGCATACTGAATGAGTAGTATTATGTAAAAGTACAGCTGAAGAGATTTCATTTGAATGGTCACACCGCAGGATTTCATCCACAGACTCAAAAGATAGAACTACATACTAAATAAATAGTACCATGTGAAAGTACTGCTGAAGAGGTTTCATTTGAATTGTAACATCATAGGATTTCATCCACAGACTCAAAAGTTAGAACTACATACTAAATAAATAGTACCATGTGAAAGTACCACGGAAGAGGCTTCCTTAGATTTCATCCGCAGACTCAAAAGTTAGAACTCAATCATTCTTTCTAATTAGAGCAAAAAGGAAATAGTATGACCACCACAGTGTCATTTCAATTAATTTGGCGTTTATTGTGTTTGAGCCAGGAGTGACCAACACTAACTTTCTCCTTGCAATATCAAAACATAGGGTATGGCAACTAATAAAATCATCATAAAAGGGAAAATCCCTTGATCTTTTGTGAAATTCCGGCCTTAAAGAGATATACGGAGAAGTCAGTCTGGAGAACTTGGTAAAGGCGAGTAGACTGCATTTTTCTTCTATAATTGCAGTTGTTTAAATTCCCACATAGGCGGCACTTGATCAATACAAAACCAAGGTCTCTATTTAATTATTTAACCCAATTCTGTCTAGACTTATTGATTAACTAGTTCATAGAATAAATAAACTCGGCAACTAGTTTGCATTTTTTTTTTCTTCAAACAGACGCTCGAAACCTTAACAATAATCACAAAACATTCTCTCGCTTCTTCCCAGGGTAATTACATAGAAAAGTAGCAAAGTTTCGACTGTCTAGACGAAATCCTACGATACGGTATCACCATTTGTATAAAATCCGGTCTCTTTAGGCAGCAGTTTTTCAGACTTTACACAGGAACATTTGTTTTTCAGTAATTAGGGATGAAAACAATTAAAATTGGGACTTACCTTAAATTTTCAGTTAATTTTGGCCCTTTTATACAAGTGAGGTTCGTGGAAGAGAAATCTCAGTACAAAAGTTTTGTATGCCCACAAACTAAGGCTTGGTTGTCAAAACAAAGTCTCCTTCCCGCGTGTGTTTAAGAACCTTCTACTTACTGTTAAATATCAAATGGGGGAAATTAGGCCAAACCTCTTTAAATCAGCCCTGACCCCATTTGAAGCTCCTTTTTGTGACATTTTAAATCTAAATTGGTATTTTTCAACCTTTGTCCCTTTACTTTAAGACAAAGATAAGAAATATTTCCTTGCCCATAAACTTGGTTGGCACTTACATGAAAGATATTGGTCCATTCTTGTCCCAGTTGCCCAATATTGGCGATGTATAGGTAATCAGCCACGCTCTCGCTGTTGTGCATTCAAAATACGGCCTGCTCCAGAGACCATCCTTAGACTCCACAAAATAATGTGTCATTTTAAGCTCTGTTTCGCTCCTGCTCCGCGAATAGAAGTAAGTTGACCGAATCGGAAAAGTCCGGTTATGTAATTTAATCCGCATCAACTTGACAAAGGCTTCGTGAAGATAGCTCCAGTTCGCGGATAAATCTGTCACTTTGATAAACGGGTCGTCGGAATTACGGTAGGCGTACGGAGCGTAAAACGAATAATCTACATAGCTGTTGTTGTCAAAAATGATAGCGGATCCCACGATAATAGGGTCGTTTTCTAAATTGTTCCTAACAATAGAGTACAAGACCTCTTCGTGTCGTCTCAGCACTGATTCCCCTGACAGGTTCAATGCTTTTGAGGACCCCGTCGGCAGCAGATCAGAGATCAAGTTGGCTGTGCGGATAGCGAGGTTTGCTTGCTGTGTATAAACACTATTCTCGTACTTAAAAAACAGAAGTTTTAAGTCTCGTTCAGCGAGCATAGTTTTGCAATCGACGCTTCCATTGTGGACTTCTTCGATGGCTTTTAGGGCTTCCCGAGCGGTCATGTTAAAAACGCCGGGTCGATCGTCTACTACAGGCAGGCGATCTGGATTTTCGATTGATGGATCGTCAACATAAAACTCGGCACTTGTTGAGGCTTTTCCATCCGCGTCCACGCACGAAAAAGTCCAAAACGCGAGAAGAAAAATTAGGACAGCCATCCTGGCGAAGCGTGTTGCGTCTGGCACGACGTGAAAACACGTTTGTTTCCGTCTGCCGAAGCGCTGCAACTTCTAAACAAAACGCTTAATCCTGCGCTGAGAGATTAACGAAAACACAAGGTGCTAATGGAATTTACACTGACGGAATAATACCTCTTAAATACGAGCGGATGTAGGACAAGCGTTCAGAGCAAACAGAGTGAATGACAAAACACGAAAGTTGTCAGCCTGGCCACAGATACTTGTGTAGTTAATTACAAACCCTTTTGTTATTAATAACCCAATTGGATCATACCCCGCTGGAAACCTGGCCAGGTTCGAAATCTATTTTTGGCGGTAAGCAATACGACGCCTGAATCAGCAACATACGACAAACAGGAGAGGACGTTATCTGGTTATAGAATGTTGAGAAATGACTGTTTTATTAAGTCTTTTAATAATAAACTGTTATGTGATTCAAAGTGTTAGCAATTAACCACATTCGTCTCTCCCTGTTCAGAATCGCTGTATTTTCCCACATGACCACAGAGTCTAGCTTTCCGCAGTCAAGCTTTCCTCAAGGGCCCTCATACACAGAGCGTTTTCTTACAAATTACTTTCCTTTCTTCAGGATCATTTTATGCACAGATGATACTTAATGTTGACAAGAACTCGAAGTTTTTCTAGTTTATCAAACTGAAGTTATAATAATCGTTGGCTTCCCTTTCGAAAATTGTCATCTCGAACTTTTTAATGAAACCAAAAGTCAAGCAGGCTCGCTAATGTATCGATATTAAGTCACATTTTTAATCAATGGCATTACGATTACACCAGCTAATATATTATCCTCGACAAGCATGTATAGATCGAATATGGACACCCACACTTCTATAATGCTGAAGTTAAACTAAGCGCGTTGGCTTCCCAGTTTCGAGATCTCTCGAAAACTGTCATCTCGAACTTCCTAATGAAACCAAAAGAAAAGCAGGATCGCTAATGTATTGATATTAAGTAACATTTTCAATCAAAGGCCTTACGAATACACCAGCTAATATATTATCCTCAAACAAGCATGTATGGATCGAATATCGACACCCACACATTTTAAAATCTCACGATCAATAATCCTTGAAGAGGGACGTTTCGTGCTGATCTTGACAGAAATTGGTAACAAATGGTGAATACCTCTTTGACAAGACAATAAAGATGTATATTTAAAACAAACAGAGAAAATTAAAAACACTGATCATGACACTTCCAATCAAATAGCTGTTTACTCAGGATTAAGTCGGTTTCCTGTAAAACAGAAAAAGGTTTCAAGCTGTTTTGAGCAGTGAATCAATCAGTGAAATGAATAAGTTCAATGGAGGAAATTCTAATAGTTTTTAGAGATTAAAGTCCCGCAAACAATTCAATCTTTTATTAAAGGCTGTGGCCCTATGACCGGTAACCGGTCAAGGTTTTCAAAACACTAAATGACCGGCAGTCCGGTATTTTCAATAAATTTGACTTATCTAAGAATCCCAACCAATCCAAACTATCGTGTGTCCATTAAGAAAAGTCAAGCGATCCCACAATGCTTTATAGATCTCAAGTCTAGCGTTTGGTTTACGCTGTGCTCAGAAAACGAAACCATGTTTTGTGACACTTAGAACTTTTTAGGTCGACTGCCGGTCAAGATTGTCAAAACAGTAAATGACCGGCAGTCTACCCCGCTAGCAGAGTCGCTTCGATCTTCCCTAGATAAGTCGGGAAAGGGGAAAGAGGAAAGAGGAAAGAGGAAAGAGGAAAGAGGAAAGAGGAAACAGGAAAGAGGAAACAGGAAACAGGAAAGAGGAAAGAGGAAAGAGGAAGCTGAAAAAAGTTCTAAGTGTCACAAAACATGGTTTCGTTTTCTGAGCACAGCGTAAAGCAAACGCTAAACTTGAGATCTATAAAGAATTTCAGGATCGCTCGACTTTTCTTTATCGAAATATGACAGTTTAGAATAGATGGATTTTTTCGACTTGTCAAATTCATTGAGAATATAGGACTACCGGTCATTTAGTGTTTTAAAAACCTTGACCAGCAGTCGACCTGAAAAAAGTTTTTAAGTGTCACAGAACATGGTTTCGTATTCTGAGCCCAGCGTAAACCAAACGCTAGACTTGAGATCTATAAAGCATTTCAGGATCGCTTGACTTTTCGTAATCGACATATGAGGCCGACATATGATAGTTTGGATTGGCTGGAATTCTTAGATAAGTCAAATTTATTGAAAATACCGGACTGCCGGTCATTAAGTGTTTTGAAAACCTTGACCGGTTACCGGCCATATAGCCACAGCGTTTATTAAAATGAAATCGCGGTTTCATGGAAAGTATTCAAACGACTAATACAGTGTTTTACGCAAATAATATGCGACATATACTCGGTGTAGCCGGCCTGTTTTGCCCTAACAAACAGACAGGCAGCTGATAATCCAACTGCGGAAGAACGCCAGGGAGAGGGAGAGAAATACCCGTCCCCCTCCCCCCACCCCACAACCCACAACCAGAGGTACCTTTACATGTAGTTAATCGATATAGTAATCGATATTAATCGATGATTAATATCGATTTTCGATATCAATTGATCGAAATCAATAAAAAAAACAAAAGTTGTGACTTCGACTGGTATCGATGATTTTCCGATAGAAATCGATAATGATTTTTTATCGATTACTATCGATTCCCATCGATTGTTATCGATTTTATTAATTGATAATAATCGAAAAATTATTTTTTTGTGACTCGATTTCCGATATTAATCGGGGTTAATCGGCGGATTAAATCGATTAATATCGACGAAATCGATTGATTTCCGATATCGATTTTTATCGATAAACTGCGGTCCAGAGACATTTACAGGGGGCACTGATCCTAGACAAGGAAGGATAAAGCGAAACACATTTTCCTCTTTCGTTCTAGCTTAGACTACGGTTAAGTGCCTCATTTTCACGGGTACTATAGAAGAACGAGAGAAATGCACGAGTGGAAATCGCCCTCTCGAGAGGAAGGTGATACGACGGGGGAATTTTCACAGGCGCTAGCGATTTTTCTCGTTGTAAATGTTATAACAGGGGCCGAACTCTAAGGCTGATAACACTTATTGAGACCTTAAGTATTCCGGATATAAAAAAACTGAATTTATCAACAGTTTTATCACACATTGCTTTGAGGAAAATAACGACAAACACACCTTTGCACGGAACACAGCTTGATATTGCTCATTGCTCTTGGAAATCATGCATTGCACGCCCAAACTACAGATAAGTCAGTAATCTGTTTGCAGATAACTGACTAATCTGTAGGCTACGCTGACTTCCAAATTTGATTGTAGGCTCTTAGCTAATAAGAAGACATAAAGTGAGAACAACGTATAATAAAAACGCTCATAAATACTAAATCTAAGTCTACATCAGCTCGGCTTCCAAAATGGCATGGCCCGCTGTAGACCAGGACCACAACTGAACTCCCTGATTTTTTAAAGTAGCCCAAACAAATATTGCTATATTAAATACACTCTCCCTCACCTGTGGAAATATTGGGATCAATTTAGGGTTCAGGGAAACTGCCAACCTACCCCTCCCCTAAGCCAACATTCACACTTACTTCAAACTAAGGGACAAATGTTGGCTTAGGGGAGGGGGAGGCGGGCAGTGGATAAATTTAGCCTTAGTGTGATTTTAAATAATACATGTAAGTCAGTTGCGTTGACCAATTCCATTGCACCTGACTCGTCCCCGGTCATCTCTCAGTCTCCTATTAAGAGCGGTCAAGGGGAGCGGAAGGGGTGATGGGAAGGAGGAGAGAGAGGAGAGCAATCCTCCTCCCATCACCTTCTTCGGTCACGCTTCTCACGTGATCCAAACATAAACGACTGGAGAAGAGTCAGTCAATGCAACAAGACGATTTACACCATTTTGTCCCCAAAATTTAGTTCTTACAAACTTCAACCGGCATATTAGCGTCATCGATCAAATTTGAAATGTTACTGTATGAAACGCACTAACAAAAATACGGTCTGGATTCATCGACGGACTAGAAAATAGGAAAAACAATTCATTCAAGCAGTCACCAAAAACAAAAATTAATACTTGGAATTTATTATCACTACCACCTGAATTTGAACACAAAGTGTCTATACTTCTACCTATTTGATAATCCTAACCTTCTCTTGAGTTTTTTCTTTATCTTCTTTGATTATTCAATAATTCTGCCATTCCAAGTACAATATGAAGCACTACGATAGGTTTAACCTCTTTCCACCAGAGACCACGTTACTCTTGTCCAGCGGACGTGTTGTTGCCCTCCAGCTCCACAAGACAGTGGCGGATCCAGACCTTCAGATAAGGGGGGACAGGGGGCGGTCATCCAAACCCTGAGATAAGGGGGAACCAGGTCGGGCCTAAGTTTGGTCTAAAAATAAGGGGGAGGCCCGGACCCCCGGCCCCTTCCCTGGATCCGCCACAGCAAGAGAAACGCAGCCCCTGGGGGAGAACGAGACTGCGATTGGTTCAACTTTATGTCACGTTCCGCCTTTGAGTATGAGTAGTAAAACACTGTAGTCCGGCATGCTCGTGGCGAATATAAGGTTCTCTAGGGGTATGGCAGGGAGACCATCAAGCCACGTGATTTCACCGGGGATAAAGTTAGAGCCACGCACTGACCTTCTAAACGGAGGAAGAGAATACTCCGCCACGATTCGCTCGTCTGTTGTCCTTACCACATATAGAGAGTTCATGTCCATTAGAAGAGTATACACGTGTCCGTAAGCCACCAGCCACTTGGAAGGCGATGCGGTGAGGACCCTGCGAATAAATGTAATAAAGAGTATTTTAGAAAAAAAACGCGCCCTTTTCCAAAGAGTTATCATCGATTACAAAATTTCTATTAACCAGTTTATGAGTAATGCAATGATACAAAAATCCTTTAACACAATAGTGTTGGGAATCGGCCCCATCTCACGACCACTAGAAACGAACCAATAGGGACATACCGTATTTATTCGAATAAGCGCCCATCCTCGAATTAGCGCCCACCTCGAATACGCGCCCATGCTAAGGGCAGCCCAGCCTCGAATAAGCACCCACCCCACCCCACCCACTTGAGTGACAATGAGATTGAAATTGAAATTGAAGTACTAATACTGAGAGACTTCCCCAAAGACGGAGTGTTCTTCAGAGTAGTTTACAGAAACCTTGCTTTGTTACATCTTGTTACATTTTTTTATTACCATTTATTGTTTTGTTGGAAATAAACATACTACACTTGCTGAAAACGGTGAGAATTTAATAAGCGCCCAGCCTCGAATAAGCGCCCACTCTAAAGGTCCAAAACTTTAATAAGCACCCAGGGCGGTTAATCGAATAAATACGGTAACAGTCTCTAGCAGTGACCATACAATCTTTAATAACAGAGGTATCGATTAATGTACTTGAATACCGACCTTCGAGGCTGACTACTCAAGCGACCACAGGAGGACCCAAGAGTTGGTAGACAAAACCGTGCTTAAATGATACTAGTACGAGAACGACTTTGGAATTCTAAGCGGAGCTTGATATTTTTTTTCAGAACTCTCATTCCTTTCTACTGCTGACCAGCACAAGTTGGGGACAAGGTTGCTGGGTTAGGTGATCATAGGCAAATAGGCAAAACCACATGACCTTAGTTTACGATCTCGAACTCGCATTTAGACCCACACTCATGAGTAGTCAGATCCCTAAGGTTCTCATAACGTACTTCTACGCCAAGTTGCATGGAGCAAATTTATAGAAAACGTGGGGTATCTTTGCACTCATTCTCAGTGTTCCCAACGATTTTCTCGCGCTGACATTGTGTTTGCTGCGCTCGTTTATCTGTCTCCGGCCGAGTTATCACTGATACTACGCAAGAAAATCCACCGGAATAAATGCAGTTCGCCGCGTTAGCCGAACGAGAAGGGAACTGGAGCTGAAATTTGTCCCGCAATTGTTTCCGAGGGACGCGCCGGTCAGTACCGTGCGAGCAGAGGCTACATTTTCGCTGTGTGAGCTGGCGTGCGAAAAGTAGCCTCTGCCGACAACCGTTCAACTCCATCCAGAAATGATCTGGACGAATAAATAAAAAAAAAAACGAGTTTTTTCCTGTTCTTGACCGGTTTAGAGCATTGCGAAAGTCTTGCGTAGCAGATCAGAAGTTGTCGCAATTTTTTTATATTCCCGCGAAACTCGCCCCATTTGATGACAGGCATGACGATTACTTTTGCTTGCGAATCGCGTGAAGAATTTCTCGCATGCACGATAGAAAATTGAACGGTTGTCGGCAGAGGCTACTTTTCGCACGCCAGCTCACACAGCGAAAATGAAGCCTCTGCTCTCAAGGTAGCCGGTCAGCTATTGGCCAATTTTTTCCCTGTCCCAAGTAACACTCCCACAAGCTTTTGCGAAATAGTTGACTCGGTCCAGTTCCCTTTTCGTTTCTAAAAAGGCGAATGGGCGAGTAGCTGCTAGAAGTTGCTTCGGACCCTGAAAGGAATGGTTGTCTCGAGGATTTTTATGAACAGTACAAAAAATATATTTTTTGAACTATCGACTTTCCTACCTTGTTATTTGTAAAGTTTTTAAATCCCACAACAGAACTCCCGCCTCTGAAGAACAAGCAATAATTTTCCCATCAAACTGGAGACGAGGATGAAGATGAATATTTGACTCCAATGGGCTCAGAGTTCCCAGGCACTTTTCACTGTCTTGAGCGAGTGACCAGACCTACCACGAAAAAATACAGTATGTAAAGGACTCGTTGAATGTCTACATGTAATTATCACGCGAGGGCTACCTCACAAGTATGATAAAATATTTCTGGGTTGTGATTTTATACCGTGTGGGGCTCTCAAATTTGCGGGAATGAACAGCTACAGGCCTCAGTGGAGGGGGAGTAAGACACCGAAATGACAGAGAAGGTGGAATGCTCGTCGTCTCGCTTGGAGAATGCCAATTGCAGATTTTTTGTCTAACTTAAGGTTTTAGGGTAGAAAGTCAATGTTTTAACTTATAGGCGAATCTTTGCTGACGTCACTGTTTACACTTTTCCTCATTAGTATACGACTCAACACATACAAGCCGTGGCTGTATTAAAAATATATATCATATGAACTGAATTTTGAAAAGTTGCTTTGATGGCTGTTCTTACCGTTTGAGTTTTGTCAAATTTCTTGACAAAACCCCTTTAATTTACTGTTGTAATTGGCAGCCTGTTTTAGTAAGGTCTCTTTCAGGGGTAAAGTAAAGCCTGAGTCACACCTGGATTTGTCTCCCTAGGGTTTTCATTCTAATTGTCCAACGAGCATTCCCGCTACCCCACCCCCTATCCTGGGAGCAACGATCTAACAGAATGTAACTAGAACTTAAACTTTGTTGGTCACTTTGCACTTTCAGACTTCTCAGTCTACATGAAAAAACTGCATGAAAAGACTAAACAGAAAAACAAACAAAACGAAAAAGGCCGGGCTTTTCCCTGAAAAAGCACTAAAAAGTACGGACAAAAACTGAGAGACCATAACAAAAAATTCAAATGATCGCAGACTTAGGGCCTGTTTACATGGACGTGGGGGACCCCAGCTAGGTGAGGTAAACCATGGCGGGTCACCCCACCTACCTGGGGTCCCCTACCTCCATGTAAACAGGTCCTTAAAGGATCAATGAATGTTGTTTTCTCTCTGCCAGCGGAGAGCTCATGTCGAATCGATGGACAATTTTGATGGTTTAAGAAGTGAAATTTAAAAAACAAAACACTGATATCTCGTTATTAAATTAATTCCGGAGATGGTTTTAAGGATGCAACGATCTAAATCTCTACTTCCCTTTTAACAACATCATACCTTAATTGCACATTTGTCCATACTCAGCAGTACCAACTTGTTTTTCTTTATAATTTGAGATTCCACTTGCGATTTTCTGAGAATAACCTTTAAAAAATGGAATAGGATTGGCCATGTGCTAGTTACAGGGGCGTAGCCGATGTTAAAAATAATTAGGGAGCTTAAGCAACGACGACGGCGACGGCGACGGCGACGACGACGGCGACGACGACGGCGACGGCGACGGCAACGAGAACGGCAAAAAAGCGAAAGGCTTATGTTACCAACCAACAACTTTGCACGTGCATCACTTTATTTTGCCGTCGTTAAACAGCTACAACGTGAAAGTGCTTAGTTTCAGGTGTTGTCAAGGACGGGAACACAAGACAACGACTTTCTTTTTCTTTTCCTGAACTTTGATACAGTGCTTTAGAATTCAACTACAAAAAAAATTGCCTGCATTTGACGAGTTAAACGAGATGGAATAAGCGCGATAAAGTTTGAGGCAGCGAGAATTCTCTTTTTAAGTGATGTTTTCGTAGCCGTCACCGTGGTTGTTGCTTAGGCTCTCTAATAAAAACGGAGAACGGCTCATCTCCAGTGTAATCTAATGTATTACTCACAGCTGACGTAGAACAAAGAAAACAAAAGATCCTAAAGAACACGATTCTAGGACCAACAGAGATTATTGTGAGGAGATGAGATAATTACCTCACTGCCAAAAAACGGAAATTCAATCAAGTCACCCGCGGGAGTACGATTTGGTAGAAGAGTTTGAAGGGTGGATTTGAAAAACGTGCGTAGCCCAAGAAAATTTCTAGTGACACCCCCTGGACCGCGTTTAATAGAGTATCTGGCACATAGAGGTTGCAATAAGATCTATTTCTCTTTCACGTGAGAATTTCGTGTCCGGAGCATCTTTAAACCTTCCCCTTGTGCTAGACCAAGTTATTTGTATCATCATGCAACAGGTCACACAATGCTTCTGTTACATGACAACAAGCCTGTCCCAGGTGTTTAAATGGTTGAGTCTGGCGAGAGGTCAGAGGGCGGGATAAATAAGGGGGAGGAGAGGGCGAGGGTGAGAGGAGTGTCGCTCTCACCCCCTACCCTTCCCCTCACTGTTTTTTTTTTTTCTGGTCACATCTCACGATCTGATCGACTGGAACAGGCTACTGGAAAACTCGAAAGAAAGCTGTATAGGAGACTGATAACGAGAGTTTGCTTAAACTGCAGCTATCAATACGAACTGAGTGGAAACTATGGCGGAGAGAAGCCGTACAAATATAAGGTTTCCGGTTCCAGGTTCTTCTTCCAAAATGCCTTATATTTGCTTGTACTCGAACAAAAGAAGAGGTTGAGGTTACATCACTTAGACCTTTACATTGTATCTCATAAACCCCCCGTGACACTTGGCAGGTATATAGACGTGGAAAAGGCGATCAGTTCCATCCAGTGGAGTGATATTGGGATGCGCCCTTGGGAAAACTTTAATTTGGGGAGCCCTGCATTTCAGTGCATTTTCTTGAGCAACCAGGGAAAATTTTTAGGGATAAAAATGGGACCTTTCTTTACCCATATTTGCTTTATATATATTTTGTTTGCTTTCACCCAGTCAAGTCTTGCAAAAAAAAATTCGGCAGTTTTATTTTCCCCCTTAAAAAAATTACTTTCTGTAAGCAGCCAGGGCTTCCATAGACTATGAGTAGTCCCCCATTTTTCCTCAGGGATAGTAAAGCGTGCGAAACGCGAGCGCGCGTGAAAATCACCCCGCCGCGTGTTGCCTTTTCTCGCGTGGGGTGATTTTCATGCGCGCTCGCGTTTCGCTTGCTCTACTATCCCTGAGGAAAAATGGGGGACTACTCTTAGTCTAGGGCTTCCATGAAGACTAGACAGAAATTTTTGCCAGTCATCAGAGTGTCTGGGGAACCCTGTCTTCTATTTAAAAGCTACAAATCTCACCTTTATTACCCAGTCTGTATGTCCATATCTGGTTTGTAAGCACTGCCCTGTTGACATCTTCCATATTCGGACAGTGGAATCTGCCGAGCCACTTACAACTGTGTCCTGATCATCACAGTAATCAACTGTAAAAACTAGAGCAGGTGGAAAAGGAAAGAGACTTGTACTTCTGGTGATCACACGTTTCAACAATGATTTATCACACCTCAACAATTTGAAGAGTAGGTTTTCCTAGCAGTTGATTTATTAGTAGGAAACGATAAAAATCGGAGTGGTGTGGTCTTAAATGGAGCTACATGTTTAGGAAATTGTTGTTGAAGACAAAATTACAAAATCATGAGCTTAAATTCACTTTTAAATTAGCCAAGATTAGAAACATTTTAAACTCAAGGCGCAAGCCTCTGAAATATAATTATAATTTTGTTGTGAATCTATTGAATGCAAGAGTTCTTTGTGAACTCTTCTCATGAAAAATCACAAAATGTACCATATGATCTTCAATCCTCTCATGAAAAATCAAAAAATGTGCCATATGATACACATTTTCTGCTGCATAATGTGACATCCTCATTGAAATTCTATAATTTCTCAATATTTTTTCACAAATTATCAGAAGGCCTTCAGAATAAACCTGTATTTCTCTGTCTTAGATTTTAAACTGCAAGGTCTTGGTGGGAACGTCCTATATTTTAAAATAATTTCAATACACTGTAGTTCACATGCTTGAGTTGAGAATCGTACCAGAATCCATTATCAGATAACAAAAAAAAATTACAATTATAAATGATTTAATTGATACCCCCTCTCAAATAAACACCTCTACATGTAGTCCATTTATACACTTGGGAGAAGAGAGACAAAGTGAAGTAAAGTTCGTTGTCTAAGGGAAAAACGCAATGGGCAAGGCTTGAAACCCAGACCTCCAAATCTGGAATTCAAGGTGTTAACCACTTGACCATACACACCTTCAAGGACATTAAGGTATGCACTTTAAACTCCAGATTACCTGCTGCAGTGTGACCCCTGAAGCACTGTAAGACATCTCCAGTTTTCCAGTCCCACATACCAACAGTATTATCAAATGATGCAGTAATGACTTTGTCATCATCAAAACAAATATCTGCACATGTATGGGTTTTCAGAACATATACACAGTGTCCTGTTGTTAAGTCCCAAAGTCTCACTGACCGGTCATCAGATCCTACCAAAAGAATGACATCAGGAGAGTCACAATGATGGCAAAAATTGGACAGGTTTAAGCTTAGTTGGAGAGTAGTTTATACTCAGAGCAAACAAACAAAGGAAAACAAAGCCATAATTCCCTGATTTCTTCACACTAAAACTACTGGTAAATCATTTTAAAGTATCCTCAACCTTGACAAAATAACATTTGAGGGTTGTTACGCTTTTTATTTGCACCTCCACAACAAGACTAACCAAAACTGAAATTCTTTTAGTGCTCTTGGAATGAAGATTGATCCTAACATGTTTACTTTACTAAAACAAAAATAATAATAATAAAAACAACAACAATAATAATAATAACAACAACAACAGCAATGGCTCCTACAAAGAAAAATAGGGAGCTTAAGCAAAGAAATTTATAAATGACGTATGTCGACTGGAGGTGAGGCCTTTTCCTGTCTAAAATGTCTTGACACTAACAAAGTTGTATTACAAAGTGTCTTCACTCTAATGGAGACAATCTGCCCAATATTTGGGCAACATCACTGTCCAAGAATGCACAAAGTCCACTTCTGGTTGACATGCACCCCTTAAAACATTTTTGCTGAAGCTCCCTGCTATCTGTCTGAGGGAGGGGTGGGGAGGATCCAAATTGGAACATTCCGTTCAAAACATTTTTTGTACAACCAAGCGTTGGGTCGCTTATTCACAACCCGTATAATCTCACCAGTTGCCAAATAATTTCCATGATAATACAAAGCAAACACCCGAGCTGTGTGACCATAAAGTTGTTTCCTCTCAACAGCTCTTTCACCTTTGAGCTTTCTTATATTTTGGGTATGTAAAGAGTAAACATGTTTCCAAGATGCACTTGAATTTTCTGCAAGTTCTTCTTCGACATTCAACCCAAGTTGCTTACAAGCGTTTTGCCAAACACCATCGCAGCTCAAAATAACCTTGTTCCATATCTTACTCACAAGACAACAACGGCACAAGGAAACAGGGTCCAACCATTTCAACACGTGAAAACTCAGCTCCAAAGGTAAGCACTTGAGGTAGTCTCTTTTTACGAGAAGTTCTAGTTTTGTGGATAGAAAACGAAGCTGCTCTGGTCCACATAGATTTATGATACATTCCACTGTCGTATTTCTTTGAATATCCGTCAAAGATTTGAACGTATCACACAGATTTTGCAGCCACATTTCGAACTCTTCCGACATTTTTGTTGTTAAATTTGAACAAGTGCCCAGTTTAGCGCGGTCTAAGCCTTTGTGAGCAACCGCTGAACAAACAATGCGTGGCCGCACTTTTTTTTTGAGCAAGCAACTGATAGTCAGCCGAAGCCAAAAGAATGTTTGTGGAGTTGAATTCCCTGATAAACGTCAGTGAAAAAGATCCCCCCAAGGTATATTTACGTTCATAAAGTTCATTTTTATCCCTTTCAAACCGCGATCATATGTAGAACAATGCTAAGCTACCGAATATTTGGCCACAAATGTTTTATGCATGTGCTCCTTAGCTCCTGGCCGAAGGAAGGGTAGGGGAGGGGAACTCCTTTGTGAAAGAGACAGTTATGTCCATCGTCTTGCTTAGGGGTGCAAAATGCAGTCTTTGGTCTCAGTGAAATCAACTGTACCTTTAATTCATGCTGGAGTTCCTCCCACCCCATGCTCAGCAAGCAAGATGCTCTATGTTTGATGCCATCAAGTTAGTATTTGCAGCTATTTCCAGAGCAAAAGCAAACTAAGTGACCTGCTGTCACATTTTGTACCTACATGATGGCAGGTACAAAATGCAAATCACAGGTCACAGGTCAAAAGTTTAGGTTATCTGAGTATATTGATGGCTAGAACAGTGACCTGCACTTGCGACCTGTGTTTTGTACTTGCCACTTTCATGATATGGATTGGCCACTGAGATGTCGCCCCATGTAAGTACTCCCCATAATGATTACAAGTAGGGACTGAAAAAGAAGATGGGGGCTTTTTGGTACCCCAGACTTTGGATAAATTAGACGGAATGAAGTAGCAGCATGGGTGAGGCTTATTATATGCGCTGCCAGGCAACTAGCCTCCCACGCAGGCGTTTTTAGGGGAGCTCATATTTCGTCCCTCCCCACAAACGCCTGCTCAACAGAGGACAACATTCCTTTCCCATTGCCACATTCGTGTGGTAAGTGACCAATCAACGATTTTTAAATTAAGTGTTGACAGGCTAAACATGACTCGTAAGCTCGAGATAGTGAAAAAACGTGACCCAGAACGTGACCCTAGAGTTACCTTTTCCTTCCTTTCTTTCCTTCGCTAAGGTTATGCAGTGCACGGAGAATATATTCTAAAATCTGACTGAGTAAATCTTACTTTTGCCGCTCTGAGACTAACGTTTATTAGAGGTCGTGAAGGTTTCTCAAAGTTTCACGCAGGTCACGTAATTATCAGGCTACTCTGCGGTCAAGGTCAACTTTCCAGAATTTGGAAAGTACAACGTGATTGGCTAAGGGTGGGAAAGGAATGTTGTCTTCTGTTGAGCAGGCATTTGTGGGGAGGGAAGAAATACGAGCTCCCCTAAAAACGCCTGCGTGGGAGGCTACCAGGCAACTGGCCAACACCAATGCAATACGTACACCACTGTAAAGGCAACCTGAAATTCCACCACCCCAAAGGGTACCACATGTAGCACAAATGTCAACAAATGTAATATAAATGTTGTAGTTAGTTTTTAAATTTTACTTTTTTTTTTTTTTTATATTGTTTTTGGGTATGGAATGTATGCTAATGAATTTTAAAACATTGAAGGAAAAACAAAAATTAACTGAAATAAAAAAATTAACTAAAACATAAACATTCACTTTTCTAGGAATAGCTGTCAATGTCATTTTTCTTTTCACAGAGGAAATTTATACTACTGTCAGACTCACAGAATGATGGAAGCTTCATTATCCATCACTTTTTAGCACTCTACATCAAAGGTAAAGATGATTTGAGCATAGCTCAGACTTATCTCATAAGACATCCTCATAAAGAGTTGTTAGTGACCAAGATCCTATGATTTAACCCTTATAAGGTTGCTGTTGCTTATTTTTCATCATTATGTTGAGTGGCATGGTCTGAGATAAATTAGTTATGCGATGCTAGCGCTTTCTCGTGGTTTACTATCAATATCTCACTCATGACTTGATTTTTCTTTTCATACACACAAGTCATCTGTTTTTCAGGTGGTTTTAGAGTATTTTTTGTTGCATTGGTCCAGTCCTTCTCTCATTACAACAACGTTGCACAGAAATTAGTAAGTACTAAATTTAATGCAATGGAAGGCTCTCTTAATAAACACTACTTGGTCATAATTTTAAATTACCTGTACATTTGTACAAAAATGTTCCATTTAGGTATTAAGGTCAGAGAGGCCTAAACAGTAAACTATCTCAAGATTGCTACTGTTTCTTTCAGTGAACAATGGCAAACAATAGTAGTGCATGTAACTCATCAATTTTATTTTTATACATTGTACTCACTATCTATCCTCTCATTGGAGCCTACAGTTAATTTTGGAAATCAGTGCAACCTACAGATTAGTTCTCCAAAAGTTAACTGCTAGCAGATAACTGACTAATCTGTAGGTTGTGCACACAATGCATGATTTTCAAGGGCAATGTCAAATTGGTTCTGTGCAACAGTGTATTTGCCGTTATCTAATAATTTCAAGTGATTTATAATAAAACAATTTAGATTCGGGTTTGGTGATAAAGGGAATAATCAAAGTCTTGGTAAGTGTTTTCAGCCTCAGCCTTCAGCTGATAACACTTAACCTTGACCTTGATTATTCTGGATATCTCAAAAACCTCATCCAAGAACTGTATATTATTTTTTTTAGTCAAAGCTCACAAGAACAAACAATAGTAGTCAAGTCGTTGAATTCTGTCTACATGTGTTGTGTTGCTTCAAGGGGATTTTCCTGTTTTCTTCCAAGGGTGTTAATCTCAGAAGTGCATGCGAGAATGGTAAAGTGACATATATAGATGGCGTGAAGCTTTTAGCTAAGGCTTTGGCAGATGGAGATGAAGAAGATTCCTTAGAGCAAAGTACAGCAGACTCATGTTCTGGTGACAACAACCCATTTGCAAATCTCAGGTACATTGTAAACCTGTAAAAGATAATAGGGAGTTTAAGTAGTGATGTTTTTGAGCGACGTACGTCAACCGGAAGTGAGCCTTTTTCTCTTTTAACATGTCTTGATACTACCAAATTTGTATTGCTACATGTAAGTGTCTTTGTTCTTATAGAGACGATTTGCTCAAAAATTTATTCATAATCATGGCTCAACAGTGCGAAAAGTCCTCTTCCGGTTCGTGTGCATTGCTCAAAAACGTCACGGCTTAAACTCCCTAATCAGAGCCACGGGGGAAATTTGTTCCAAGTGTAATGCCCTTGTTGCAGCCTCGTGTCATCTTTGGCTGCATGGTGATTTAGAGCACTATCCAGGGCTGTTACGCCACAGTATCCAGAGGTCTGTGGCGTCTTACTGTTGCTATTGGGTGACAAGGAAATCTTAGCTTTCTTCATAGAAATCCTACACGTATGCTGGGCACCCTGGATTTCACAGGTCAGAGCACTAGGCTTCCTTTTTCTTGTAACCAGCATTTTTCTGGACAAAGGAAGAACCTGCATTTTTATTTTAACTTTAAAAGATCCTGAGTATTGTTCTGGATGAATCTAAGAAACCCCACTCTACAGTCAAGTGCTTTACAACCCCCAACCATTACCCCCACTTAAAGGAGCTTTGTTACCAGTAAGTTTATTTTAAAACACTCTGCATAAATGATTGTTGGTAGCATGTAATCCACATAGGAAGTAAGAGTATTTATAAAACCCAGTTATTACAGAGACCCAGTTAGCTGTTGACAAGAATGGCGAAGTTACCAACAAACAAATCTCACTTGTACATGGTCAAAATGGAACTCTAATCCAGGCCAGCTTGCATAAGGCCATTTTTGAGTTGCCCCAAGTCCCTGTTTCAAAGCAAGGCTATGTGCAAAGCCAGTAATATTTTTTTTTTGTAGTTTTTATTCTCATGTAAATAAAACTCATTTTCACCAGACAGGTTTTACACTTAGCCTCGTTTTGAAAGTGAGAGGTTTTGGACCTCTCAACCCTTTAAGTCCCAATGGTGATTAAAATCAATTTTCTCCTAACGATATCCATACATTGTCAAGAGATAAGGCTATATGAACAAATAAAATGATCACCAAAGGGAACATGCTTTCATCTTTTATCAAATTCTCGCAACTCATTCTTTAAGGAAATGTATGGAGATCAGTTTGGAGAATTTGTATGTGGATATTGGGGCTTAAAGGGTTAAACCAAAGACCACTAGGGATGTAAGAGCATGCTGCCTCCTTGTCCTTAAAGTGTCCATCACCTAAAATTTTATATTTTCTTATCTGAAACTATACCTTATTAAAATAACTTCTGCGAAAAAATTTTGCGGTGCGAACGAAACGCGATTTTTTTACCAATTTTTAAGTCTACATTTTTGCGGTACACCCACGCTGCTGATCATGCAAACTAGCAGGCTCACATATGACGTCATGTGACGTAAATTAAGGAACTCGCATTACCCAGCGGTACACAAAAGAGATAAATTACAAGTAAGGATTGAATCACAATGTCTTCGCAAGAAGAAAGTTTTTCTGAAAAAGAAAAACCTATCAGAACTCTTAATGTTTTCCTGTCGATAAGGTCACGTGTTCCTTAAAGTACGTCATATGACGCCATACTCCGAGAGAAGACTAAGACGAATGGTGTGCAAAAATGGTGGCAAATTTGAACGTTTTTAAAAAATTATAAAAAAATCGTCTTTGGTTCAAATCGCAAATTTTTTTCGCAGAAGTTATTTTAATAAGGTGTAGTTTCAGATAAGAAAATAATAAATTTTAGGTAATGGGCACTTTAAGAATAATATTATTATTTGGTAAATGCTTTTTTTTTAATTATTTGTTATTGTTTTTCAGGAATGCTAGTTTTACCCTTCAGCCACTCTACAACAGAATCAAGTCCACCTTTGAAAATGAAAGAGAGCCTTGTCTGTTAGTCATTGATGACCTGTCTTGTCTTCTCTCCATTGGAATACATGTTCAAAATGTTATTGATTTCGCGCATTACTGTTATTCTTTGATGTGCTGCTCTACAACCATGGTAGGTTTTAAACTTAAAGGGCCGGTTATTTAAACGGAGTTTAACCAGTGTTTAATAAAACCGCGTTCTAAGTCATTTTCAGTTTGCCCAACGCTTTTATCTAAACACCATTTGTTGTGAACAGTTTCTTGACTAGAAAAGCACTTATCTTCTTAAGTTAACGTTTGAGCAACCAGGACCAGGGCGAGTTCGGTCGTTTCGATACAAAGTCGTTTCGCTACGAACTCAAGCAGTGAAATTGCACAAAAATTTCGATCACTTCGAGTGTAGTTTGCGGGTAAACATGAAAAACATTTTGGGTGAATATTCTTCGTTCTTTAAGCCAGGTACGTGGAACTATTTACACCTCGACTGGATAAAGTTATCGAAACGACCGTAAACCGAACCAGGGAATAAGAGTTACCGTTACACATAATACTGAGTGTTAATGATAGATGAGATAATACTGTTCGTTAATAGCCTGCAGGGCGGGCGTATTTTGGGTGGGCGAAACCTTGTTCGTGTTCGTAATATTGTTGTAGTTGCCATCTTTGATTTTATGACAGTGGAAGATTGGGGAGAGTAGAAATAGTAACCCTTACGGTAGGTGCGAGGGCGAAAGAAGGAAAGGGGGAAGGGGGAGGGGAGAAAAAAATACTCTTTTTTCTCTTCTCTCTCCCGGCCCCCTCCCCGCTCCCTTTGACTCGCCCCATCTCCTCCTCCCTTCGGGAAGTTTCAACATGGCGCTTTCGCGAGCCAATTGCGCGCTCAAAGAAAACGCCTGCACTGCAGGCTAGTTCGTTAATAGCATGATCTATTGGTTTCACTCCTTTCTAAAGCACCTAAGTGCCAAGTTAGCAAAAGATATGAAGCACTACTCGCTTTCAGCTCTTTCTGCACCCTTCCCTAAAGTTGCAGGCCGGGTTTAATTTAAAGATGTGGGTAACTTTTTTAAAAAAGTTCCTTGTCATATGATAGAAGTGTCTCACCAAATATAATTGATGTCTCAAACAACCTCCTCTCGCCTTGACATTGGTTTGAAATAAGCTCCCAACTTCACAATGTTCTTGTGGGACTGGAGCGGTGCAGACGTGTGGTAGCACACGTATTCTTCTGCCCCCTAGTCCCAAGTTATTTCAAAAAATTACCAAATCGTGGGAGAAGACCTCCTTGTACAAGCCTTTTGGCTTTCTGAGGTCTCCTCATCACTCACTGTAAGAAGTTGTAGTGAAAATAAATAAGTAAATAAATATTAGATAAATAAATGAATGAATGAATGTTCACTGCTTGTCAATTTTCTCGACGCAAGCTGGCAAGACTGTGCCGTTTTGACACTCACGTCAGTTCACATGTTCATAGCTTACAGAGAGTCTATTTAAAAAGTGGTAAACCTTTAAAAAGTATTGAGCTATGAAACCTGTCGATTTTAGGTCGTTTCGCGTACAAGTCGTTTCGCTAGCGACCGGTTCGCTAACGTCTTAAATCATTTCGCTAACGTACAATGTTTATAGGCTAGTTCTCTAACTTCTTTTTGCCTTATCAATTGCTTAAAGAACAAGGTATCGGACATTTTCGTTTTATTGCTTAGGTATATCCATGTGCAGTGCTCGTTTCGATTCGTAAGCGAAACTACTTTTAAAGGAATTTGGGCGGACTGGATGTTAGCGAAACGACGCGTAGGCGAAACGATCAGTCCCCGATCTTGCCAATTCATAAACTTCGGGTAGAATAGGTACAAGCTTTTGTGCAAAGATTATTTCCGGGATCGTGTGAGTTAAACTGAAGCGTTAGTTATATGACTGGTCGATGATATCCAAGGGCCAGAATCTGTACTCCAAATCTGTTGCTGAGTTGGTCCAAAGTTGATTATCTTTTGACGAGTTTCTTATTCTTTCACTTCTTAGTTAAATGGGTGCTTTGTCACATTAGTACACAATGACAGTGATGTGGAAGACGAGGAGTCACTGTTGCTATGGAAACAACTGTGTCACTATTCACACATGGAACTTCATGTCAGAGGACTTAGCAGTGGTTACTGCAAAGACGTTCATGGTCAGGTTGGTGATCAGTACTTTCTTGTTTCTCACTAGGCGTCTTCACAATTTTTGCTTACTAGCTACTGGATCTTAAATGATCAAGTTTTTAAGTACTGAATGTTGAAGTCGTTAGTAATTCATAACGTTTAAGTTATTCTGATTTTTTATAAATCCGTGCTTTTTTTAATATCATTGTAGATTGGATTCCCTTTTTTGCCAATGTATTCACTTCCGTTTTTAACATCTCTCAATTTTTTTAATCTTTAGAATTTTTAAGAACCTTTTATTATAATCACTGTTTGTAAATAGGCTTTTTTATCGCGATTAACGTAATTCTATAGATCTAAATTTTGTTTTTAGAGGGCCACTAGGGAGGGAGAATACTAGAATTCTTAGATCTTTTATTATAATTACTATTATTTTGTAAATAGGCTTTTTATCATGATTGTCAGGAGTGTAATTTATTATTATTAATTTTGTTTTTAGAGGGCCGCTGGGGAGAATACTTCATAGTAATTGGTGTCACCCTCTTAAAATAAAGGTTATTATTATCGAGACGACAGTGCAAATGACTGCCATAAAGGAGGTTTTAAAAAAGCGAAATTATGATAATTCACGGTATTGGCTTCTTTCCTTCTGCGGTTGGCTCTGTAAACTTAGTTGCGGAGGATCCACGGAGAAGAAGTAGCCTACACCAAATTTAGTAGCTTAAGTTGCTCTTAGCTGATCGTGGCTGTAGCTTCTCTCGTGCTCTCCAAAATTGTCACCATATACCTGCGATATGCGCACACTAGACATGAACCAATTCTTCTCTTCGGCGAGAAACCTTTTCATTGTTCGACGTCGTGTGATCCCGGTGACCAATGGCAGCACGCTGTTGGCGAAAATATTCCTACCAGCCATCTGTAATCTTCAAGCCGCCAGAAACCAAAGTGTAAGTTCGTCGGAAATTCATTCTTAGCATCTGTCACCGGAATTTTTATCAGGTGCAATACACAGAGAAATAAAGTGCAAACGCAGTGCGTGAAATTAATCTCGGTCTTTGAGACGAAGCAAGTGCAATAAATAACCAACGTATCCGTTCTTTATGCCTTAATAAGACGAAAGAAGCGCGATACGTTTGGAAGATATCTAGGTTTTGAAGCCTTGGTGAGACGAAACAGACGCGATAAATGTATTATAGTATGTTTGGATGTTGTTGAGCATGACAAAATTTTGGGAGAGATGACTTTTCGGGCAGGTTGAGCGTAAACCCAGGCATAATACAAATCCTGTTAATTATTGGTGATGCACAGCAGGGCTCAAAATAACGGCCGGTCAACGGACAATGTCCGGCCTGATCGTGCACTTGACCGGTCAAACTCTCATCTTGCCGGTCATTATTGGATGGGAACCTTTTAAAATATTTTCCATACAGTTGCCGCTTTAATGCGTTTTGCTCTATAACACTGTAATCATTTCTTTTTTCTTTGCCTTTTTTTCCATGCTTTGCACTAAAACTTTTGAAGAAAACGAATGCCGCATTAAATTCCATGTTGTCATGTAATGAAACGCGACAAAGCGAAATTATACATAAGTAATTAGACATAATTTCTTTATGTCGAACGTGAATCTCGTTTGCAAACTCGATTGCAGAATTGCCTGATAAAGATTTTAAGCTCTTAATCGAAAAGGAACGTCGCCTATCTACGCGCTTAAAATCCTCCTTCTTGTAAACAGCTTTATGCAAATTTCTGTAGATGTTTATAATGAGCCCTTCGCGATAAAGTGTTGCTCGATGTACGACCCAAACGAAAGCTCTGCTGTATATTTATTGACTTCTGATGATAAATACGCTGTTTGTGGAATGGATTTCTCGCCAGAATCAACTTCATTGCCGTAAATGTTTAGTGGAGGAGACTTTCGATCACCTGCCGGGCAACGAAAACGATCAACTTTCACCGATATGCAGCTATGGGACTTGCAGACTTGTTACACCGCAGTACGATGATACTCAAAGTCAAAGTATATATAAACGGACCTGAAAGTGGGGGAAAACCCCGGAGAGGAACTCAACAACTTGTGAATGAATTTCACCAACTTGCCGCGAAAAACCTGAACGTCAATGCAGTACAACGATCTATTGCTAGCGTAATTTGACATTCCATACAAGGCAAAAAAAATATATTGTATTCATTATTTGAGCGGCCAAAATCCGGGTTTGTCCGGCCAAAAAATTATTTGGCCGGTCAACATGCCCGGCGACCTACTGTCCGTTATTTTGAGCCCTGCACAGGGGCTGTGCGCTCCTGTATTGGTTGTGGCCGAATTCATAAACTCATTTTTGATTGTTTTATTGTGCACACAAGGCCAAACCCACTGATAAAAATGGGTACATGATCTTCTAAACATCGCGTAGATGTGGCAAGGTCCTAACTGACCGTCGCACTTTCGTTTTCTTGCAGCTTACCATAACACAACGAGACCAGCACAGAACGAAACACAATACAAGAAATTTACAGTTCAAGATTTTGGAGAAAAACGTGACATTTTTTGCTCCTGGAATGTCGAAAGCTGTTTTATGATGGAAGGTAACAAATTGTTTCGACCCGCAGTCGACTGCAAGAGAGCGGATAGTAACAACACCCCTCGCGGTAAAGCCTTCGCACATCTTTGTTTTCTAAAGGCTGGATAGCCTGGGGCTTTTTTATGCCTAGTCTTCATGTAGATCAGGGTGGCAAAATGCAGCAGAGCATGGTCTTGAACAACCTTCGAGTTGCAGGTTTTCAGCACCACACATAGTACAAGCAGTGACCTTGGAATTCATGGAATAGTGCTTCCCTACCCGGGGGCTCTACTTAATTCACATCATTCTTCAATGCCTTATAAGAAACGTTAATTACGACTCCAAAAGTTAATTTGAACTTTTTCGGATCGCTGCTCGTGAACAAATATTATGACATACTTTACTTTAGATGCCCTTTGGCTAAGTGGCCTTTATTTTAGTTTTATAAAAAGCTGTTTACACGTTAAACTGCAAAACAGTCATTAGGTTTGTTTAAATCTGAAATCGCTGCTCGCGTAGGCACAAGGAGCCGAAAGCGTGGATTTTTTTTGTGCCTCCCCAAAGTTTCAGTCTCTGTTTTCACCCTCACTGCAGATCTTTTGGTGAAGAGTACTCGCATTCATGAATACCTGAAATGCGGTTGTGTGTTTTGCAGACTATTTGCAAGTCATATTAAGTAATACAAACCTCGACACTCGTTTGCGCATCGACTCGTTCATGTCTTGACTCGTCCATGTCGATTCAAAGTTTTTCGGTAAAAAATGACGTCAACAGAGGAATTTTTCACTTCATTTTCGTACGAGAAAGAAATAGAAAGGGCACAGTGGTTTAAGAATGACTTGGATCAAGGTGGATGGAAGGAAATACACAACAGTCCCGGGAGAGTTTACTGGCAGAAAACCTTCCCTGACAGTGAAGTCCCGATCAAGATTCTCTTCAAGATCGACTTGCCTTTGTCTGCGGAATCTTACATGGAGATGCTGCACCCCAAAAATCTGAATATACGACAAAAGTGGGACCAAGTTTTCGTGGATCAAGAAATTGTAAAAACCTTTCCAGATGACCAGGGCTGTGTCGTCCATCTTTCTTTACCCACTTCACGACCACTGTCTAATCGCAGTTTCATGCTGTTCTTGCCAGCAACTAAAGAAATCGATTGGTTTGGTAAGCGATGCCATATCATGTTTCAAAAAGACGCCTGGCACTCGTCAAAGCCGCCAGGAGCTGACGGCCTCGTAAGGGTAACCAACGGAGGGAATTTTTTTGTTATTAGCGCTGATGAAAAGAACCCCGACTCGGCGTGCACGCTGTTTTGTCTTTCAAACAACAACTACAATGGATGGTTGCCAAAGACGTATATCGAGTGGCTAGTGTCAGGAGGAGCGATTTCTTCCTTCAATCGCTTTTTTGACTGCGTGATTGAAGGCTACGAGAAATACTTCAAACTGAAATAACTTTAATTTCCAGTACAACATCTTTAGACTTAATGTGCACCCTCAATATCCTGATATATCTGGCTAAAAAAAAAAGAAAGAAACGTTGGATCGCATTTAACTTCAATAGCTGCTTTTGCGTTTCCGCAGCCTTGTAAAATGTACTTCTGATAACGATCAATTTCGACATACGCGTTAAAAGAAAAATTGACGATAAAAAAGCAACACGACGTTTCGATGACTCCATGTCGTCATTATCAAATGCGAAGAAAATTAGCATTAATTGGTGATATATATACAAAAAAAGAAAGTGTCAGGGATGTGTAAAATTAACTTTGAGGCGTGAAAATGGAACAAACTATCGCCCGGATGGAGTCCGCTTGAGTGTTTAATGCTAATTTTTCTCGCATTTGATAATGATGACATGGAGTCATTGAAACGCCGTGTTACTTTTTTATCGTTGATTTTTCTTTTAGAATTATAAAATGTACTTAACGTAAACATCGCCCCAGGTCAGGTTATTAAAGGAAGACTTTGATTCTGGATTCCACGCCGGGGATTCCGGATTTCAATCCTTATCGGGATTCCGGATTCCACAAGCAAAATTTTGCAGGATTCCGAAGTCCGGATTTTACCTTTTATGGGGTGAAAAGCAAAAGTCAGCTGAGTCAGTGATGAACATTCTTAATCTTTATTGAAGATTGTCGCATCGTTGGAGCACTCATTTCGCTAACCTGAGACCTCAGGGAGCAGCCGTTTGAAATCAACGTTCTGTTACCTGTCAAATAGCTATTGCTTCCCTGCTGTTATGTAGTTTCCTTATAATAAATAATTTCGCATTAAACGTTCCAAGATACTATAGACTCATAATATTGCGACAGAGAACCTAATTGCAACGAAGGAGGACAGGAATTGGAGCGAAGGAATGTAAATAAAGAAACTAAGGGCTTCTGTGTGCAGTGAATTTGTGATTGTCTGAGCGTGAACGCAAGTGTCAGTAAATACGAAAGCGCATCAGCGCGACCCCTGCCTTTAGGGAGTTTACTCAACGACGACAGCGAAGGCTACGAAAATGTCACTTAAAAAGTTAATTTGCGCAGCCTCAAACTTTATCGCGCTTATTCCATCGCGTTTAATTCCTCAAATGTTGGCCAATTTTAACGGAGTTGAATTCTAATGGACTGCATCAAAGTTCAGGAAAAGAAAAAGAAAGTTGTTGTCTTTTGCTCCCGTCCTCGACAAACGTGAATTTAGGCAGTTTCACGTTGTAGTCGTACAACAGAGAAATGTACAAAAAAGCGTGATGCACGTGCAAAGTTGTTGTTTTCTTGTCTTTTTTGCCGTTCTCGTTGCCGTCGTCGTCGTAGTCGTTGCGTAAACTCCCTTTTGTTTCGGTGGTTGACAACCTCCGCTTTGGCTATGTTCACTCTATACCAGATACCTTTTCGTGCCGATGTGAAAAGCTATTCGCGGTATATTATTCGCCACTTTGAGGTTGCGCGGAAGACCGGGTCGAGATGGTTGTCAAAGTGTATTGTGGGACTGTTTTGGGCGACGCATTTTCAACATGGCGGCAAAATTCGTCCCCCAAAACAGTCCCACAATGCACCATCTCGATCCGATCTCCCGCCCAATCTCAAAGTGGCGAATGAATGGCGATGGCACAGAACTGGACGAGTCGTTCACACGACGTGATCACACACATCGAACATCGTACCGGAGCGGTTGGCCCGGAGGATTTGGTACACTAATCCTTATCTTCACTTCTGAATATTTACTTCCGTCTCTTTTCGCCTTCCGTCATCGCTTCTACTCATTTACTCCCGCTACTGTTCAGAGTTACCCCCACTTCGATAGCGATGTTAATCAATAATATTGATCAATAGCGATATCAATTTAACTTAGAAGGCAGGATTTCTTCTTTTATCATCTTTAGTTCTTGCGGTTTTCCTATACAGCGCAACTTCCCGTAATCGGCGAAGATTTAGTTGTCGGTTACGGGAAGTGGTCAATTCGGAGAGTCGAACTGCAGGAGGTCTTTTACAACGAGGGGTTTCGGCACATCAAAAATGTGTTGCGTGCAATTTTTAGGTTGCAATAAACAGCTGTTTCGAGAAAGGTCGTCGGAAAAAAATGTGCCGCGAGAATCCCAAAAGGTAATGTAGGATATAATCAATAAACTGTTTCTTGACACTGTAGCTGTCGAACCTACTTTTGTTGCTTTTCTTTAGCACTCGGAAACATACCGTCTATGGTCGCTCGTGCCATTCTTTCAAATTTCTTTGAAAAACAGTGTAATAACTCAAAACTACGCACCATACGAACCATACCTTTCGGGATTGTCGCGTTGTTCTTATAGCAAACACAGAGATCAGCAGATTATTGTGCCAAGTGGTCGGTAAGAAGGGGTTGAAAATAATCGAAAATTCTAATATCGTCATCCTAAAAAAACGAAAGTGGTCACGGTCGCTTATGAGAGGTGGCCTTGAAGTGGGATTAAATTTATCGAATTGGAACTGAAGTGAAATTAAATAGACATCTAGCCTGCGAAAACAGCCGTTTCATCTCGCTCTTCGCAGCTGGGGACGTTTCGCGCGGAGGAAAGTCTGCGACTCAGCGACAGAAATTCCATACTGATGACGTAAAATCTGTCCGGAATCCGGACGGAAGCCCGGATTGGTCGACGGAATAGTTACATTGTTTTAGCTGTTGTTTTTCAATGACAGACAAAAGACAAAAGGCCACAAAAGTAAAATGTAAACGCGATGAATCTCTGACGAAGCAGTCAATATTTGTGAAATATTGTCTTCTCTAGAAAAAGCATATTAGTGTTGCTAGAGCTCGTTCGCAGATGAACACAACACAACGCTAAATCGAGCAAGAGAAACGTAAAATTGAACAATTTTGCATTTGGAACCCCAGGAATACCGGATTTATTAAGTAAACATTGATTTACGTCATCAGTATGGAATTTCTGTCGCTGAGTCGCAGACATTCCTTCGCGCGAAACGTCCCCAGCGGCGAAGAGCGAGGAGAAACGGATGTTTTCATTGAATTTCATTGAATTACCGTTGAATTCAAGAGTTGAATAATACTACAATCGGCTATGTAGAATAGCCCTTTGCAGCTAGTGATTCACATGATACAAAACCGCCGTGCTACACAGCACTGGCTAGACAGCAAGGAACGCACCATGCAAATGAGAACATGACCACAATAGTCCTACTCTTTTTTAAGCCTAAAAACAATAGTCTGCATTTTCACTGCCCCTTTGTTGAGGATAATGTCACGCATAAACGAGTAAGATTGGCGCTGTCGTGGGTCAAGGTCGAAACAAAAATTGACTCGATCTTCTGCGGTTTATAAAATGTCGTCAACAGAGGATTTTTTTACTTCATTTTCGTTCGAAAAAGAAATTGAGAGAGCAGAGTGGTTTAAGAATGACTTGGATCAGGGCGGATGGAAGCAAATACACAACAGTCCAGGGAGAGTTTACTGGCGGAAGATCTTCCCTGAGAATGAAGTTCCGTTAAAGATTCTGTTCAAGATCGACTTGCCTTTGTCAGCGGAATCCTACCTGGAGATG